CGGCTTGAGAAGAAGCGTGCCTTTTGTGTCCGTTTGCTGGCTGGTGTCATTGTGTCGTTGATTGCACTCATGCGCCTCAATCGCTTTTAGCCAATCGACACGAAACGTTTATATCTTTCGGTCATACCTAACTAGACGTAAGTTCACCTGAGCAACAAGCTTCAGTAACTGACTTCGTCTCGGGATGTTACCCAGCGCATTCCCTCTACGACAACCGATTCTGGAGAGGGTTTTATTTGTCGTGGGTCTGTGCAATTATTTCCCTTTTGCCGTTCTTCCTATAATCTTTTTGCTGTCGTTATTTTTCCTGTAAGAAACGCAGCATTCCCCCCTTAGTGTTAAGTATCTATTATTATTTCTAGTTTTAAATGCCGTCTACACTGCATGGTCTTCTTCCCCATGGATCAAACTACACTGACTTCTTTGTCTTTTCTAAGCTCATTCCAATTTCCGCGAAATAATTCAGCTTGCTCTGTAATAGCTTGCTCTGGAAATAATAAACATTTGTAAGCATTGTTTACGCTGCCTGCATTCAACACATCTCAACTACCGGGATCATATTGTCGAATAAATTTCCTTTTCAACTTAGATATCACTTCTGCATGTGAAGGTTTAACGAGATTTTCCGTTGCCATTTTCTTTATTCGTGCCTTTTAAAGGTAACCAGAATTAAGGATCACTTCTCCTTTCTTCACACTTAACGATAGCTTCCTCTTCGCCTGCGCTTTCATAATGCTGTTTGGGTTATATCCGTGGAAAATGTAGTTATTCTGACCAGCTGAGCTTCTATCCAAAGAACACGGCTTGGTGAGGAAACCATCTATGTCGGAAAACCAATTTGTAGTTTTTCGAACCAACTTTTTATTATGAATTAACAGAAAATGTCAGTGATCACGGTAACCCAGTAGCGGATACCAAGCTTTCTGTTGGTAGTGTTGAACAGTATCTCTCTAAAAGTTTTATCGAACCGCCTGCTGGCCTCCTCCCCAACATAGATGCTCGGACAGATGCAGTTCCAAAAGTTCTACCTGACAAATTGCACGGAAGCACGTGCTGTATACCTTGCTACAAATTCTCGACTTTAATCGATCTAAAAGTGGGTTGTTCAGTTGTGGACTGTATCAAAAAATTTGACCTTGATTGTTTCTGGAAGACGACAGTTCGATGTACGGTTTTGTCTATCGAGCCGTTTTGCTGCTAGAGAACAGATGGCATTGTATTCCATAGAACAGAGATTGAGAGCAGAGATTTAACATGTGAAGGATCAAAAGAGTAGTGAAAATCCCCATAGCTATATTCAGAAGAAAAGGTGCGAGCAAACGTTGCTTTCGATAACTTCTCGTCAGGCCAGTACAGGGATATGAGACGGGGTACAGTGAGCGAAAAAATCGATAAAAATTAGTTTTTAAAATACAGGCAAGGCATGAGCGGAAGGGCGCAGAAAGTTGTATGTGGTTAGTCAACCTTTGACCACGGTCAGGGCGGAGCCTAAACGAGGTTCTTCTGGGCACATAGGGTCGGTTTTCGTAACCTGATGGCGGCCGCTTCTGCTGTTGCTAACAGGCCCCGACCCTGTAGCTTAGGGTACCTCGAGGGGACCTTATGAATCACACGAAATGCTTCAGCGGGGTCCACACGATGCCCTGAATCCCCTACATGCGCAAGCCTGGCGCTGTCTATTCTCCTAGTTTCACCTTTTGCCAGCCATGCGGGAAGGTGCTCTCGTATTCTTTTGGAACGGTGCTGACTCGAACGACTAAGGAAACCTGCTCCACAGGAGCAAGTGAATGAGTGGATGCACATTGAGGCGGTCTGAGGTGGCAGCCTATCCTTGCCTTCTCCGCGTAAAATAGGGTTAGTAGAGAATGATATATGAACACTTGCTGCTGGGAACGTTCCCGAGACAACTTGGAGTTCACTTGCAGCGTCGGCCTTGGAAAGGACTTTGAGGGACAACGTTTTCTTTTCGGCGGTCAGTATGGTGGGTTTTGCGGGTCGTTCAGCAAGGTTCTTTTCAATGAACCTGTCAGGATACCCGTTTTCACGAAGCAAGTCCTGGATTTTTCTCAGTTCCTTCTCGATATTTGATCAACAATGCTATAAGTAACTAAAAGGAGCTCCTATGAGGTTACCCATTTTTAACTTCCTCACTGAAATAACAACACAGAAACGAAAGGCTACGAATATCCCGTTAGTTGCTCCTAAACTTTGGCTATGATATGTGGAGGACACATTTGCTGTTTTAAAAGGGGACCAAATGAAAATGCTTCATGACATTATCAGCTCAACAATACCTGGAATTAAACTCACTCTAGAAAAGGAAGCTTGCTACAAACTCCCATTTCTGGATGTTATTGTACAGGGAAAGCCGACAGAACATTACGCACATCCGCTTGCCGGAAAAAAACTTATATTGAAGTCGCTCTACCTGATAAGATTAACCATCTCACCACTTCTTGAGTAAATCTCTGAATTTCAGCAACAACTGATGTTACGACGAAAGACACCAGCAATTTATAGTCCCTTTTATCACGTGATGAATGTATTTTGCGTGAAGTACTTACGACGCATCTGATAGATCCCTCCTGCCGACCTTCTGCGCCGTGTACTCACGCATGTTTGTGCCTTTGCTACAGATGTTTTATCTGGTCAAAATTTACTGCGCGGAGCCAAATATACACCAAACAGATTTGTGTCAAACTACTCCTTCTGACATATTTGTCCATTCAGCGGATTTCCGGGGAGATACATAGTCTTTATTTTTCATTATCAACGCGAAACAAACAGTATTGTAGGGATGTAGACGCAGTTTAACCGATTTCGGATAAGTCATGCTAGACCTCTAGCGCGTTACCGGTTACCCACCGACACCACGGCGCCGCGCTAACCACCTTTAAACTTTGATCCTATTGGTCATTACAAGACTGTCATATTTGGCAGGCTGAGGCCTCGATCAGCCTAGTGGCTAAACTTTTGTGTTACTCTACCTTTCATTGTCCATACTTAGTCTTGCCTCTTGATCTATTCGTTAAACCTGCCCGTCTCTAGTGGAGGCCCCATAAATACAGAGGACAATTGATGTCAGGGCACCCTTGGACTGGAGAACGCCTGCCCGACCCCTCCATATATGATCGCCAATCTTGCTTGCCGTATCAACCAAAGCCCATCTCCAGGCCAACCAGTCCCCGAAAAAGGACCTCCTCTTGTTCCCTACTCCAACCCGTCCTCCTGTCCTAAATAACCCCTAATCTTCCCCTTAAGCCACTGCCTTGTGTTCTTATTAGAGGTCGAATAGAAGGGCTTCGACACTTAGCACGGTTAGGCCGCTTACACATGCACCTCAACGGCAGACACAACGCATCTTGCCTGGAGAGACCTGTCGCGGCGACTGCTTGCAGAGCCTTTGTGTACGCGCTTCTTCAGCAGTAAAAGTTGTCCAACCTAACCCGCCTTCCCGAACTTCTGATTTCGGAATCTCTGTGTCGTCGACCATACCAGTTCGACACTGTCACTTTACTCCATGACCGGAGCGCAGACCGGACACAAGCATGCGTTAATCTTAGCACGGTTAAGCCGCTTACAGTATTACTGAGGTTTAAACCTCAGTAATACTTGCATATAATTATATGCAAGTTTTTGTGACAGTTATTTACATTCGTACTGAGAATTTGCCAATCATATTTGGGGACAAAAGTGCTTCGCGTGTAACGTCCCTTGGCATGAACAGGAGTGTTTGCATGTTGTAACACTTTTAGTGCGAACCTTGATGGAGACGGTGTAACTGTGTGCTGGTGAAGACGGCCGGTGTCCCTTCCTCTCGCTACCGCTGACACTCCCTCCCGCAAAGCACCATCGCTCTCGTCTTTCTTCCACTCAACGTCGCCCCCCCCTCGGCTAGTATGTCAGGGTTACCTATCCATCCAGACAGGTCATCTATTCGCAGGTCCTTATTCCACGCGTACACTAACGTTTATTATACACATTCGCCGTATCCATGTCGTTCTATTATACTATATCCCATACCTGATGTACTTTCTTCTCCTGCGTGTGAATGACTTTCAACAGATGCTACCAGTTCTGTCCAGATCTACCTTCGCCAGGATCCCTTCACAGCGTTTACTTACTTTGGTGTGTGCTACCCTTGACGTCCTCGGCCGCTACAAGCGTTTGCGGAATTTTAAAATAATATGTAGAAATGCGTTATCCTGGCGGCCGATGAAAATACCTTAGTTGCACGTATACACAACTTGACCAATAAGAATATAGACGGACGACCTATTGTATTACTAGACTTAATACAGCGGTCTGTGAAGTAGGTAGGTGGTGATCAATGAAACGTAAGTCGTGCTATGTAAATACTTGATAATAGGCAACACGGTATGAACTGTAAAGTACTGCAGGACTTTGTTGAGGCGGAGTAAGCGTTGGTTGGAAAAGTGCAATAATATCGTAGGTGGTGTTTTTTCAAAATAACGATCATGCAGATGCATACAAGATGCGTGATCAAATCAGGTTAAGGTTCATAAAAATGAAATCGCACATGTAATGCAACTTTGCTTGTGGCTGAAATTTTTTGGAGATCCCGTTTTTGCCATGGAACGGTTGAAACATATGAAAGTACTCAAAATCACTTCATTTTCTTTGGAACACATTTTGATTACCAAACAAAGGGACGTTTTGGGGCTACTGGTTCAGTCTCTCATATTAATTATGTTGCCCTTATTAATTCGCCCGTTTAGAGTTCACCGCTGGAAATTCTCGAAATACTGTTTCACTGTGCACTAAAAACGGTTTTAATGCTGTGAGTTCCGCCTGTCAAAGTAATTTTCTACCCCAGCCGTCCGGTTGTTGTCCGCCGGATGGCAATTCTCCTTCTTTTCTTTTTTTGCGCCACTGCATTAGGCTGCTCTTGCGACATAACTGAATTCTTTTGTGATACTGACTGTTTCTGTGATTCTGATTGTACGAATCTATTAGTCGACTCATTCAGTTCTTCTGAGATGTCAGTGGTGAGGTATGTTATAGTACGACGCATAAACACCAATAATTGCGAACTAGGGATCCCATGGGCTTTTGTTATTCACAAGACAGAGCGAAAACAATACCTTCGTTCTCCTGTCTTCTCAATGATAATGGTATTTTTTGCTTTCCGCGTATGCATGTATGAAATTGTGTTAGTCCACGTTTACGAGAAATTCGAATCCATGTCCGCCCTAAATTCTAGTATAATTATGAGTAGTAACCTTAACGCTTCGAAAACGGATTTGAAATATCTGTTCTCCAATAGAACGAACTATCTCGTAAGTTGCAATATTGCAATTGCCTATATACCTATGATCCATTTGTAGTGGGGAGATTCTTTGAACATCTACGGTGAAAACGGTGTACGAGATGTCCTACGTATGCCACGTGCTACAGTGTCCGACGCGTGCGACGAATTTTCAGAAGTCCGTGAGTTTTTTTCAGTTTTTCCGTTGTTTACGACATGATAAATCCGACTCTTCGTATGATGACTAACATTGTCGGTTCACAAATTGTCAATTTTTTAAAGTCCCGCTATTTAAAAATATTTTTTAATAAGTAGTTTGTCAGATGTCATCCTTCCAGATGGCACAAACATGTGCCTCCGGAAAGCTGAGATTCACTTACCTGTCGCAAAATCATGACTGTGTGCTCCATACTGGGACGCGTTTAAATCATCTACTCTTTTGTCCTGCTGAAGGGACACCGAGTAAATGAATTCGGATCTCATCTCACCTCGACCAAGAATACCAGATTTACACTGCAGTCGATAACGGAGAACGTAAATCCAGTTTTCTTCCTCGTTTAGTCAAATCATACATTATTATCTTACCAAAACCATGCGTTGTAGGCTAACGGACAGTTGGTAACATTTTGACACAAATTCTGGCCATAGTGGCACAAATAGTTGTAGCTTCATAACTTCTGACCAGCGGACCCCCAAAAATTTAGAAATTGTGTGCCATTGAAGAAAAGGCATGCTGTCTTAAACTCTGACAAAACTGATGCCCTCTAAACTTGAGCCGCATCTGAGATACGACTGTGCACATACCATCCCAATACACACAGTAGAATGTATGGAATTCAGTTTTACCTGCCCAATAGGAGGAACATTATCTGCTTTGGAGTGATCAAAGGACGATAAAACACACTTGTCCAACAGTCGCAAAACAGGTAGTCCTCCCATCTTCGGTTTTAGACGTAACCTTACGTAAAATGTAAATATTCACTAGCTTTTGTACGCTGTCTTCGTCGACCTTCTTGCCCTTAGATTTTCCAACATTTCACAGGCTGTTCACTTAAACGACTATTGAATGTTACGAAACTTGAGTATCTTAAAACAACCCCAACACTCGCTCTGTTTGCACATCACTGTTGACGTTATCTAGCTCTAACGAACCGATAATTCTATCTCTAGGTTGAGCAAGTTAATACTAAAGACTGCTCTTTCAGAAAGGCCTATCGCCCAATCATATCACCGCCTGCAAACAACGGACGACTTGTTTTTGGACTTAGGACGATGAAGACGCTTCCCGACATCCATCCAGCCCGTATTGGCTAGCGCTGTCCTAGTTTATTGATACGTCGGCACCCACGAAATCTTGCAGACGCTTATTGCGATTTGTTTTCCGTGCTGGAATGTCATGATTCCGTGCATTTATTTTGTCTGAACTATTATTTTGCTGCCATTGAGAGGGATATCATCCTTCGAAATGTTGCTTACAAAACGTCTGCATTTAATTTTTACAGAACTCTACTTTTAAACTTTTTCTGTTGATCTCCCCAATGCTTCCAGAACCTTAATCTCGAGGAGAGACTAGAGACCATCTGTGTTCAAGATTGATTTTTGAGTCTTTTGCCGAAGTAGAAGGACTCTGGAGCTTAATAAATTAGATATTTTTAGTAAAAAACAATTTGAACTCAGGACCACGATAAAAATGTTAACTGGGCGCGGAGAAGCACCACTAATGCTAATAATTCTACCGTTTGAACCCTGCACTCAGCCACCTAAACGACTTGCAAGGGGTAACTTAAGCACACTACAAAGCTCATCAGAACTGTCAGTCGTTGGTGCAGATTGACTTGTTTTTTTCAGTTTCGACTTGAGATTGAGCTCGTGTCAGTTTAAGAATGGATAAGGCGACTAAACGCAGCAAACTAGTGGAACTACCTAACTGTACTGGCGGTCATTCTGTCATGCATACAGGATCGTATACCTAAGACCGGAATAGGCAAGAGTTTGGACTAGAGCTACTTTCATCAAAAAACTCGAAAAAAAATTTTATTAACGAGGGGGACTCTAATACAGTAGATTTTTGGGATAAAGACACATGAAATTTTGTTAACGTCAAAGCATTAAAATCGAGTGCCCACAAAACGGTTTTAGCAACCTTGAGCTTGCGCGGTGTTGTCGTGCTTGATGATCTATAGCACGGTCATGGTTATGCCCATCAGAGGCATTCCGTGGCTCATGCCACCTTGAGTGGAAATTAGGAAATTTTCAACGTTGTGCTGCGAGGGAGATGAGTAAGACAACCACGGAGGCCGGATTAGAGCACGTTACACGTTAACTGGGTCATACGGACTCCGCTGATCATATGATAAATGCTAAACGGGGGCGTGGTGACAGGCCGAATTGCAGGCTCACACCACATTAGCCACGTGCGCCTAATTCCCGCATCAGTTGATTGACCGACTCAGACAATCGGCTGGTTCACGGGAGAGGGAGGAGTGAGGGAGACTGGCACTACGCAGTCAATTTTCCCGTATTTGAATATATCACGATGCGCTAAAATTCGTGGCTTGGGAGACTTCCAACTGGGTGGGCAACTCGGTCCTCTCAGGACGGAAAGTCAGACTGCAATGGCTCGCTACTGTGGCCGCCATAGCACTCCTACGCAGGCAACCTCCGAGGCGCCTCTTTGTTTTGTGCAAACCTGACACATTTCTGTGGAGCCAAGTCGTATGTGGCACGCGTATATGACTGTTTTACTTTGTCAACCACTGTGCCCGAGCCCACCTCCGGTCTTCTTGACTCTCTCTTGCCACCGGCAGTCGCTGCGCAAATTCATCATCACTATCAACCGGCTCACGCGAAAGTCACTGTCCTGTGTTCACCATTCTCTGGGGCTCGCAACGTACATCGCCGTCCGCGGCGGCCGAACTGACGGTAGTGGAGCACCATGAATCTATGGGCCAAGCATTTTCGTGGCTTCTTCACAATAAAAATTCGAGTGTCCCCAATAGCAAACGCAAATCTGTGTGAACTATTATTTTTACAGTCTTAACTATTGTGCATCTCCTAGAACTTCATCTAGGCTAGTAGACGAGTAACTCGTACTATCAGCCTTCTCTCACGGAGGTGGTACACTTGCCCTAAAACTGGATGAACTCTTGTGTTAGACGAGGCTCGCGGCACGCGCTATACAGGTTCTTTTTATAACGTCAATCACTCTCCCGGTTGTATTTCAATCAACTTAATTCGAACTAACACATAAAAGGGGAAGGTGAAGTGAGGCCGACCCTGTATACAGTTTCTCCGCCTATGTTTACCTCTTATTTAGCATATTACATCTGACAAGCTTTCAAATTACCAGTGCGTTGAAGTTAGTAACATGGAAGACTACCAACAACCACCCCGCGAACAGCTAGCAAGGTTGCTATGATTATTTCGCAACAGGACTCTCTAGTTGATGATAATTCGGACTCTTCTGGGACTCGTTTATTTGCAGGTAACGACTAATATTGCGTCCACTGCTATCCATGGAAATCACCAATGATCGCGAGGGCATGTTTGAATTTTTCGAAACATCAACATCGCTCAACTTCCACGCCCATGTTCCGATTTAGTCACCCCGTCTAGGCGGGATTATTGGTATGGCAAAGCCCTCCTACCCGCGCCACTGGCATGCTGGCTCACTCAAGAACAAACTATGCTAATATTTCCCAGATCTCGCGCATGTCATGATCTGTATGAGACTGGCGTTAGACAAAGGCGATTGCAGTCTAACCCGCAGTCTTAGGGAAAATCAAGTTAACGTTTTTCTTTTGCAACCTACGCCACTGTTTTTGGCGTTTTGCAACAGTCCTGCCAAGCTTGCCCCTTAGCCATGGTCTCGCTAGACCAGGACGTGTAGCACATGTGGACGAACTTCTATTGCTACCACAACCATTGCGCCTGTTCCTATCTCATCTTGGCTTTACTTGAACTTGACAGGAGTCTTACATTAAATCAACCCCTGAACCCACATCCGTTTCTAAAAAACCTGAATTTGCCCTTCCTTTGAAACAGGATGGGTGCGGGTGGCCAGAGGGTGTATTTGCTGGGCTCAAGTCATTATCTAGCCACCACGTCCCCGGCACTGGTGGCGATCATCTTTTATGACGAGCGGAGTGCAGGTTGTACATAAAACTAAATTAGAAATTCCGTTATTTCCACCTAGCTTTTAATACCGTGGGCTTCTTTCTTGTGTTTTATGCAATAAAATACCCACTCCGACCTTCTTGACAGGACAGTAGATGTGTCAGTGAAGGCAAGAATAAGGTTTCGATTGGGTTTCATCTCAGTCTCACTCGATCTGAATATAAACATCCTCTAAAAAATTGTAACCCGGCCGCGTCCATGATACTGATGTCGGAAACAGGGTGAGGTCACGACCTACTTCAGAGGAATGCGAAACCAAGCAGCGCAATCCAGTTACGAAATGCAACCAACTAGCCTATCAGCACGTTCCACATAATTGAGCAAGCGCATTGCCTTTTTATGTTTGGAACCAAATCAGTGGTCGAAGATTCCAAGGGTGAATGAATGTTCACGAAACGACCCATCCGCAACTGGCCCGCCAAAGTCTGGGAGGTAGTACAACACTAGCAGTCAAATGAAAAGGCGTTTTTGGCGTTTTCGATACTATGACTCTCAGACTGAGGTTGTTTCTTTAATTCGCTTTCCTCCTCTATCATTCCCCGTCAGGGCATAAAAGTTTAGTTTATTACAACACCTTAAGATGGTATCATTTGGCCTTACCATTTCCTTGTCAACGATGTTGACTACATTCTAATTCCCGGTATATTCGCATTTAATAGGCTGAGAATATTAATCAACCCTTTTCCTTAGTATCAGTGCGATTTTCCCGGATTACGGTTTCCCCGAATCGGTTATCACATCCTCGAGTGGGTCACGTCTACATCACATCTATGTTGTCGCCCCTATCCTTCTGGCCAAATTATTTGTAGCAGTTAGGTCTTATCAGTCTGCCCTATTGAGAAGGGCCTCAAAAAGTAGTTGTAACAATATCCAAGTGTTGAAAAACTACCCCAGATTCCAGTCTACCCCCCAACATAATTCTCCTATTACCTACAACTCACGTTATGAAGATGGGGGAAACCTCAACTATTATTTTAACACAATCAAGTCAGGTCTTCACAGCCCTCCTTTCAGGATTTGTATTTCTGTTTCCGATTGCAGCACTGCCATCACGCCATGTACGGCTTGAATTTTTTCGATTCGGTACCTTTCGTAGAAAAACGCTGCAATTTCTGAATATTCCACCCAGCCAGCGATCAGCAAGCATTAGTACGAGAGCCTTCCTCGAGCAATGACCTCACGAATTCCCCATTTGGTAAACGGACTTTGTAAACGCTAGCATTTCCTTCGGCCATTATATCCAGAACTCTGCATTTGGCACCCGACGTTGTTTCTGAAATTGATAGGCCTCCAGTTTAATTGAACATTCTGGGCCATCAAATAACGCCTTTTGTACGCTCTCTAAAAGTGTCGTCAGTGTAGAATCAACGAAGAGTCAGAGAAAAAGACCTATCCGAAAGTTGTGTTCCTATATCGATGTTAAATCTTTTAAACACAGTCAAAACTGCGCCACCAAGTTTGTTTTTGTAACTTTAAAGGATTCCTTAGGCCATCGACGGTCTCTTGTCGTCGGGTGATTAGTAACGCATCCGTAACTTCGGCTGCGACAATCGCCTGTGCGGATCTTGTAGGAATTCCTGGACGACCAGTCAATGCCGGTGGCCAGGGCGCTTTCGTCTTAGCCTCCTCACCAGTGTTGGAGGCATCAAACATGTCCGTAAACATAACGCCGGAGGTGTCCTGTCTTGATGGCACAAACGGATCTCTTATTTCCTGCCCTGCTTTTAGACCGGCTTCTTCAAGTGCAGACAGTTTCGTATGTGTGAATGTACCAACAGAGGTATGCTACTTGTGTTGTCTACTGGCACCTATTTAGTAAGCATTAATGCTAGCTGGATACTAAATTTGTATTTCTGCCGCGCAGCAATACACAAAGCATGTATTTTATGAAACCTCTGTGATACATTGGGATTAAACAACATATACCTTTAAATACATGGAAAAGTCAACTAAAACTCTACATCCTAGATTGTTTGTAGTCGAAAATTTTTCATTTCAACAGGGTGACTGCGCAAAATATGCCAGTCGATTTGCTCTCCATCGTCCACTTGGTCCCCAGACAAACTGGGGATTATAACGTGGTGGAAGAATTAATTCTCGCAATTTGTCCTTTGTAGATGTGGCGTAAGCCGCACGTTGTCATTTTCGAAACAAAATTAAATGCTCTCGGTACCAAAAGATCAAGAGGCGTTCACCAGCAAACACCTCTCTTTTTCGCCAATATTGCTCTGTCCGGAGCCCTACGGCCGTTCTGGCATGGGGGCGGCCAAAATGGCTTCGAGTGTTGTGCTCGAAGATGCCGACTACCTTCGAAAGGCCAAAGCCTACTACGGATCGATAAAACTAAGTCCATTGTAAGGAGACGCAATAACAAACTGATTTTCCCGAGTTTCAAGCCCAGCATCACGTGCAGAACGCCTGGCGATCTAGCCATCATATACGACCCCAAAGTGGTCTTAGTAACTGGTCCGAACAAACAAGGTTGTCGCCACCGTCCGACCGACTGCTGCGCTGAGTCGCACGTCTGCCTGTATCTGTGCGAAATGACGCCCTACTGCATGTAACTTCTCCTGCCAATATTCGACCCAAGAGTTTCCTCAACAAAATCGTTTCAAGGGAGACTGGATTAGCTGCAGTTCAGCCCAGAGACGGAAGTGGAACTGTGTTATAGCACCAGAAGTCTCATCCTTACCCCACAGAACCTAGTGGTCATATCTAAATCAAAAGAAAAGCTGTAACCTTCCTGGCCTCTTCCCTAGCAGGGAGGCTATGCCCTCCGGGGGACATCAGCCTCCACCATGGGAAAATCTCTTCACCACTGGGTCTGGACTGGAGGCTTTCGCAATAGGCATGTCGCCGTCGTTAGCAACAGTACTCTTGTATACGATTGTTAGTCCCTTGGTGTCCCTGCTCCGCCTTGCTGGGGAGCACACGGGGACATCGTCGAACCCGACGGCCGAACTCGGCGTACAGCGAAATCGGTGATTATTTGGATATTTAGCTTCGGTCAAATAGTGAATTCCGGATACTCCTAGAAGATATCCATCCTTCGCTAGCATTCACCTAATATGTCCCATTACAACGTCGATGAATGGGGTTCGCAGTGATATTCTAGCTTATTATTGAAGATCACGAATATGTACATGTATGGAATGTTTGTCGTGAACTGTATGAACGAACTAATTGGTCAGATTGACTACATTTACAGCATGTTTCTGTAAGATGTCAGCAAAAAGTGGTTGTGGCCGAGCTTCAAGTGCATTTGAGCCTCCTTGAGTACCGAGTATGGCCCGCAAACTATGATGAAGATTTCAGTTCCATTTTTTGTTCGCGTTTGAGTGTTTCAGTATCTTATTTCCTCTGGAGACCTAAACCTCAGCTGCTTTTCAAATAATTGTTCGTTACTGTTATATGGCCTGTCGAGAGTAACTTCGGTATCTTATAATGAAAAGCCTATGTTTGACCTCTATGCCGTCTCTAATAATGAAGGATTCTTCCTTCTCCTTGGTAAAGCCGCTTCGCGTAGTATTGCTTTGCTTGCAAATTTTTCATAACATAGACACTCACTTTGCTTATGTCAGTCGTGATTGTGGGCCTGCAAGTCAGGCAGACCTTGGTATGCCCTCGAATAACTATTCTCGGCACGCACGCTAACGCACTCTATTCTATAACTACCTTCCAAGTTAGACTGAATAGGACCCTTACTAGTAAAATTAGGCATACCTTTAATTTTTAGATCACGTTCTTCTCAAGCATTTGCTCTATGTCGTCTCGCTTTAGGCCAGTTCATCCCCACCTTATGAAATGCCAAATAAGTAAGAACACCACAAGTTCGATATTCCGAACAATTTTTTAATACCTTCTTCCCATTAGGTTGACGTCGAAATAATATATCAACGGACTGGCGGTATCTCGAATGTGAAGATCACTGCGATTATTCAGTCTGTTCCAAACATTTTTGATCAGAAATTCAGCGTTCGATTTTCTCAGGTGTGTTGCGTCTTCGCTTGCCTCTGTTACTCTCTAACACGTCATAACTTCCACACAAATTCATGCTTTGTAATGTGTTTTCAAAGTCCTTTGTCATTTTGCTTTTGTAGACACGACTTCCAACTCCAGAAGACTGCCTTATATCCCATTACCATAATTTACGGTTTCGTAGACGACAACTTTCCAAATCTACGAGTAATCCATCTTCAAATGCTCATATAACATAATCGCCATGGGCGTACCTGAAGGGGGAATATCTTCGGCCAAAGTAGACGTTGACTGTGATTTTCTAGCGTCTCGCCCTAAACGAGGGTTGAACATCGTCATTTACTGCAGTAAACGGTGTTCATCCCTGTCACCCCGTTAAGGGCCATTAGACAGCATTCCCGGCTCCCCCACTTTCACGCATTTTACATCTCGTTCCCTTGTTGATTTCCAGGTTGGGCCACAGGCCTTCAGGTCAGATTTATGACTTCACTGGGCGATAATTTTGGCAGGCAAGCACGTCAGAGCTTGATAGTCTGTAGCGCATCAATTAACTGGAATATTTCTTTGGTGTAGCAGACTATAGACAATGGGGGAGAATTGGCACGGCTAGGAAGCGTGATCGCTGTTTTTGGCCCTGCTGGAAATATTTCAGAACCAGGGCTGCTGGCGAAAATTCTGCATGTTGGCAATTCGACCCCATCTGATGGCGCACCTTGTCTGACTATGCTGGTTTTATTTTGACCCAACTGTGAAAAACTCGGCGATCTTGGTGACATTCGAACCCACGACAGCAAGGGAAAGGCTTAAGTGCAGCCAACTCTCTATCCACCTGGGCTACGAGGCCCCACCGGAAGTCATGAGATTAATCACATTTGGGTCAGTTTATCTGCCCAGCCCACTACTGGCACAGTGAGTTGACTGCACAAGCAGGATTTCCTACTTAGTTAATGTAGAATCCACCAGATGACTACGAGAACCACTTAATTAATATGTATTTTCAAATGTACTATAGTCCGCTACTGTTATGCTATAGTCTAATGGTTTTACTACACGAGGATATTGAGAATGGAGACTGATTTTGTCTAATAAACTCGAAACAGTGATTTACTGCCCTATGGAAATGAATTTACACCAGCCCTCTCAGTCTGACAATGGGTCTATTTATGTTGTTTTCGACTTGGACGCGATGATTATGCCAGTCATCCATGACAGTCAATATTTTTTATGTGAAGAACTGCGTGATGCAAATTAAAAGAAGACGAAACCACGTAGGTCGTCGTTGCCAGCGTATTCAATACTTCGTCTTCTGCTATAGATAATACTCGACCGTCGATCTCAAATACGAACTGCTGACCCCGCAATAATTTATTCCTTTGAGGAATAAAAAGAGCCCACCGGAACAGGTTTGTTGGAATACCGACGTTTCGGAAAGCTTGGACGGCTCACCACTGTCAAGGCGTTAAGTACACTTAGTCGAACGAAAATAGCGATGGCGTGCTGTGCTGGTCGACCTCTTGCTGCTCGACCTCCTTTCCGTCCTTCGTTGTCTCGGCCTTTTGGAGGATGTTTGGTGGGCTTGTCAGTTGCATGTGGTCATTCTGTAGGTTTTTAAGACCGATTTTACGGCTTGCTTAAAAATTTCCGAATCTTACCTGAGCAACGCTCTACCATATCGTAGTCCTTCCATCAGCAGTCCGCTTACTTAAACATCGCTCATCTACCCTGTTTGAGTGTTTAGTCCGAGCAATTTCCGCATGACTTTCTGACTAGACATCTTTGAAGTTCTTTCCATACATGTTCAAACTTCTTGCCTGATAAATCGTGCGTAATTACTTGGAATTGCGATTTGCCGTTGCGAAATTTTGATTATTCCTTGTCACTTGTCATTTACAGAAATTCAGTCAGACTACATATGTCATAGTAAGTTTAAATGTTTGCCTTGTTTGAAAAAGTGCATTCTAAGGACCCGCTGTCGTCTCAGACGAAACAATACTCAGGTCTGTACGCCTAAAACACAGTAGTTGCTGACTGAATTCATGTGCGATGCAAGTGTCTTGCAGTGAGCAGCCAATTTTCTCTTACATAGTATGAATTTCAGTTATGCGAACCATAGCACTCAGTTGCTTTTTCCTTCAGTGCCAGCAAATGAGATATCGGATGTACATTATAGTCACCTACACACAGTAACTACCATTAATAGACAATGGGAGCCGAGAATACTTGTTAGTATGTCAGTTTGACGCTGGTTTAATTTTTTGCACGTTGGAAGTGTTTGCGTAAAACAGAAAACGATGTTACTAACAAATTCTGCCGATCTTAAGTAAGGCAGTTTGAGAGATGTACGTTGAGGTTATCCACAATTGCTAAACTGACCATGTTGGTTCGCGTGCAAAATAATATTTAGTCATCAACGGTCGTGACAGTTATTTCTTGTCTGACTTTTGTCCTAGTGAGCTCAACTGCCGGTCTGTAAGGCAGTAATTTACCAGTGTCGACGCTATAATTAATAACTTCTCTCATTTCAGGTTAAAATGGTGTTGGCTGGTGCGAGTGCATTCGTTTCGGACCGTATTCTAGCTTATTTACCAGATCGGTAGAGAGGTTGTGCAGCCGATTGTCATGCCATATGAATTGGTCGTTTAAGGAGCTCTGACGGCGTTGTAACACAACAAGACTTTGCCGAATGCTTTTTCATCCTTCCTTTCTTTTTTTATGGGTAACCAGTCAACAAATGCCCTGGCCGACCCGACGGAAGCCGAAACGGACGGACCGGACGCTTTGAATGGATCGGAGGAAGAGCGCGGTTGATTTCAGTTTGTAAGAGGGCAATAAATAGGAAAGCGCCGATGCGTCTGACGGATAGCTCTGGAGTTCCCTGCGTCACTACAATGCTTTAGGACTTTCGTGTGCCCCAAGATCACTTATTGACGTCGAACTAAGCGGCAAACTCCTCTGATAGCCGAACAACCGCTTGATGTGACGACTCCTTAATCGCAGACCCAGAAAAGAGAGATACCCACCACGGTCCGTTAGCGATCGCCGCAGAGTGTCCGTGCGAAAGACCTCGGTGCCGTCCAGGCAGATTCTGAGGGGAGGGAACTCAATGGAGGCGTGGTAGTGGTCCAGGAAGTCTATACCTGGAATCACGTCCCACCGGATGCGCGCGCGTGCGGACGTGTGTTTCGTCGTAAGACCACCTATGGCAACGGAGCAGCACGCTTGTTCGTCTGGACGGAGGACAAAACCGTTGGCCGCCGAAAGCTGGGTAAGTCGAAAGAAGGATTCGTAGCTCACCCACCGAAGGTTCGAACAAACCACGGAACAAGAAACTCCCGTATCCAGCAAAGACGACACCATGCCACCACAAAGGGCGCCGCGGATGGTAACAGGTGTGCGAGCACCGCATGAAAGTACTGTCAAGAATGGAAAACTCGCAGCGTTAGGGAGAGACCCACCCGACGTAAACTGGGGATGAGTTGGAGGATTGTGACCGCAACGTTGGGCACGCCTGCCGAATTCTCGAAAGTAAGGACAACTTGACCGGAGAGTTTTGACGACCACCAACCGAGTGGGTTTGTGTTCGACGACTGGACGGACGACGTTCAGCCACCGAAAAGAGATGGGTTGAGACAAGCTGACGTTGGGCCACTTCCACGTGCCACTTCCAGTACTTTCTGCAGTGACAAACAAAATTCGGTGTTCCGAACACCAATAGAAAATCGTTTGAGAACCTCCGTTTCACGCTGGACGGGGGAGTCATTGGGAAAAGCTCCTAGAACCAACTCGCGTAAGGCCCCGGCGTACGTGTCGACTGACTTTGTCGCCAACCATCATTGGCTCCAGAAGGCTTCGAGTGCCAGGGCAGGCGCCGCTCCATGATTAAACAAATCACTGATGGTTTTGAGGATTTCGCCGTCGGGGACATCCAGCGAGACTCCCGTGGCCATTATCAGCCGGGCGGCCGAATCATCTAAAAGCGAGACTAAGTACGGGGCAGCGTGTTTGGGAGGAACGGTACGGCGAAAGTTTCGGGCACGAAGGACCCAGACAGAAAAGTCATTTCCCGGGTACAAGGGGCTGGGAGGTCGGAGAGGGGGGCGGGCGAAATCCGCCTCCGTATTTGTCTTCTGGGGAACATATGGTGTGGTAATTGCCGGTTCTGATGTCCCAGGATCGGACACAGGGGGCTCAGACGGGGGGGAGAATGAGTGTTCTCGTCGACTTTAGCGGCCATAATCCCACCAACTGTCACCAATTTGTAGCGTGAGTTGTTGTCCAAGGTCAGACTAGATCCTAAGAAGGAATTGCAGGTCAGGCGAAACAAATGGCCACAGCGAGCACCAGGCATCGACATTCTCACGAACGATGGCGGAAAAGGAGGCGAGATAGCCGAAACGTATTTATTGTGCTCTTATGATCTCAAATCAGCCGCGCTCTTCCTCCGGCCCGTCCAAAGTGTCTAGTTCGTCCGTGTCGGCTTCGGTCGGACCGGCCAGGGAATTTGCTGACTGTTTCCTTATAAAGAAAGAAAGGAACGATGTACAAACATTAGAAAAAGACTTGTTGCATTACAGCGTCAGCCGTCCTAGTCAGCTACGAAACTACGAGAATGGTTATCTACCATTAGCGGGTTTCTCTGTCAATAAGTGTATTTAGGGTTTCCGCTATTTTATCTCCTGCATTGTCAGTACTTATCAGAGTTTGTGTGTTTTCTACGCCAAATAGGAAGTTAATAAAATCTTACTTTCCCCGAAGCATCTTGAGGCCCCGTCCGTGTGCGTGTGCTAAGCCTCAAAGAGCGGTCTACACTACTAACGTGCCAAACTAGGACTGGCCCCATGGTTGCTAGTGGGGTGTGTTAGTCGAACTGCACTGATTTTGTCCGAACTCTTAACTACTGCCGTAGTGCGTTAGATGGACGCTCACACTACGTCAACTACTGCCTATGTTCTCAACAGCATCTGTCCAACAGGCTCAAAAAGAGTGTCGATGCACAGGGGCGGAACGAGAGACTGGGACCGATACTGATGTATCCCTCCTCACTAAAATTCGAAATTTTCCTCACATATTACACACCTGGGTTTACCATAGCAGGCAAAAAGTCGTTGTTTGCAAGGTCGTTAACTGACTGACTAACTTGCTCCTTTTTGGAATGGGGGTCAAACCGCAGTGCCCCCTTGTTGTGGCCTTTATGGTAGAGCTTACCTCTGTAAGATCCGAGGTGCGTGGTATGCGTTCAACGGCGGTTTAGCATCACTCCAGTCACTGTGGCCAATCTCATCCTCAGCCAACTGAAACATGGTGGTGGTGGTGGGGGGAAAGGGAATGGAGGAGGGGACATACAGTGAATTCGACCCAACTCAGGTACTAGCGTCTAGTTTCTCTCACTACAAACCAAGCAAGTTTCGAAACCATTTGGAGACCTTAGTAGTCGTGGCCTGGAAGGTTGCCAACTGACGGTGTTACTTGATCCTACTGCAAGGCGGGCCGCAGCGCAGCTCTCTTAATATGGTTTTTACTTAATTTTTGCTTCTGCAGTGCCCAAGACCCGTTCGCTGACGGCCGGTATTGGTGGAGTTTAGGAATCAGTTCTCTTGTTATACGCCATGAGCAGGCTGTCAAGTTTTTTCAGCTACTGTGGCCACGCTCACCTCCTGTCGTCTTTGCCTTGCGATTGGGATCTGGGGGACTTGGAAGAGTGAAGTGACATGGGTGTTGCGCGGTTCTGCTTCGCAGTAAATAATTTCGCGCGCAAGCCGCCGCTGGACCCCAGAAACAACGGTAGACCTCGTCGCTTACGACGATCAAGCTACCATATTGAATCAGTCTTGCACTCTAATAAAAACCTATGCTTTTCCGGCGTTTTAAATTTAATTTTAGTTACCGGGAATGCTTATTTAGACTGACCTGGGGGCGTTTTATTAAACCATGGCTTCTTTTCGGAATGGGGTCATCGAAAAGTCTCGTGTCATGGGCATGACAGTGAAAGCGCTTTTCTTTTGTTGCGACCTAAATTCTCGGCTCCCAGACGGACAACACATATGTGATCCACTTTACAGAGCACCAAAAACACGCTGATTTGCTGGCTAACAGTCAGACATGAAGCGCAGGAATCGACCTCAGCTCGAAGATACGGCTGATGAAGCTTTTCTTCAAAGACTTTGGCGGCGCCAACTTACTTAAAATAAACCCTGTGTTCTTTGAGAGTAGAAACCCAAGATGATAAACTGATTTGGTCAACTTAATGTTTGCGTTTTTGTGAAGGTTTCAGGAAACATCTCAGAAGAAGCCGCTGATACACCACGGAGCGGGAACCCGGGCTACAATATTGGAGCACCTGTACTTGCGGGCACTACAAACTACACAACCGTAGGTCTCCAAGAACCGGACTTAACAACCGTTGAGACTATCCTTCCGACTTCGGACGGACTAAGCCTGGCATCAGAATTTGGCGTGTGGTCCATTCCTGTCGGCGGAGTCTGTAGTATCCTCAATGGCAATACTCCTGATGCAACTCGTTTTCAACCGATTAGCTTCGGCCTCGATGTTTACACTGGGTGCCTGTTAAGGTGAGTTGGCCACCGATCCAGCGTAATCGGTACTTAGTAAAAACTTAATTCATCCCGTTCTTTTGCAAAAGTTAGGCAGGCCTAAGGAAAATATGTTTCTACTAATGTGCATGGGATCATAGGGCAATGAATCAAAAGGGGGGAAGTTTGCGTAGAGCATGGAATTGCGTACAACAACACTTAATCTGATAGCTGTACCGGTCAAAATTGCGCAAGCGAAGTGACAAACGTTGTCAATATCTGCAGAACGAGTTCCCTTGCGAAAACAGACATTTCATCTTACACTAGGTGGTTATCATCTTACTGTTCACAGCAGTTAAGCTCACACGTTTCAAATAAATGCGCCAGTATAAATAAAAGAAGTTGGGTTGACCTATGGGCTGAATACTATATGTACCGTACCTGTCGTGTTTGATTCGGAACCAAAGCCAATCCCCAGCCAGAAGGCAGTTCAGAGTTCGTGCGTCAGGCATGCTTATAACACAAGACAGGCGGCGAGGCAGAACAACTTCGAGCAAGCAGGAACAGACACCCCACCACTCTGATGATGGAAACGAGGAAGTTTCCGAAACGTCAGCAACAATACACTGTGGTCCATGCAATCGCCCCTTTTTCTTCTTCGTCTTCTTTTGGGGATGATGAACGGGATAATTTATCAGGACCTCGAATCTTTACTCATGTTGATATATATATATATATATATATATATATATATATACTAAAGGTATTATATCGTACTCCCGACGTAGATTCACTCAGGAATGGGCGCACACCGATCCATTGGCTTCCCGAAGCAAACAAGCTTCGTATGGGCGATAAGGGTCACGAAAAGGCAACCACCTACCAGGCCGAAGTCGGCCAAGCTATGATAGCAGAGGGGAGACGACAAAGTCTGGGGATAGATTGATACAACACTGTTTCGGGCTTGTTTGCCTTCATTCAGTCAATCATAACCCTGACCACCAGCTGGTACCGGAAACACAAACATGCGCTCAGACGCACCTGGCGCAGCTGGTCCACCACTGGGGTCTACCAGATGGGTCATAAGCATTTCATCGAACCGAAGTTCATCAGTGCATACGTTGGAAACGGGCCACAAATTCGCATGGGACAGGACTCGCATTGTTGGTGTTTGCTCATCAAAAAAGGGCCGTGAATTTTTAGAGGCCATCCATTCTGACAGCGCATGCATCAATCGGCACGTAGAATTGGATACGGTGTACAACAGCCTCAAGGAAAAGTGGAAAAGGCGTTAGCCAATCAGAACATCACACCAGCAAGAGTGACAAGGCAAAATAGATTTTTCGGCATGTTTAAATGTTAACTGTGTTGCACACTTACTTCACGTCTGAAGACGACTTGGGGAACCAAGATCGAAAATTTACAATAAAACTTGTTTAATATTTCCCAAAGAGCTGTTTTCTTTCGAATTATGATTCTTGGGATGCCTGTTTTCCAATTCATACGGTAATACCATTCTGCCTATATATATATCAGCGAGGAGGGACGACAGAGAATGCGGGTAGATTGATACAGCACTGTTTCGGGCTTATTCTGCCTTCATTCAGCCAATCATAACCCTGACCACCAGCAGCTGGGACCAGAAACACAAACATGCGCACAGACGCACCTGGCGCAGTCGGTCCACCACTGAGGCCTACCAGATGGGTCATAAGCACTTCATCGAACCGAAGTTCATCAGTGCCTCGCCACCTGTCATTCTCTGTCGCTGCAGATCGGGTATTTATCAATCAGGAATGGGCGCACACCGATCTATTGGCTTCACAAAGCAAACAAGCTCCGTATGTGTGGCAAAGGTCACATATATATATGGATAGCTGAGGTAGTGTGCATTCCGAGATACTATGATGAAGATAGAAGGCTCGTCGGAAAAATGGAGTTTACTCGTAAATTTTCGAGCTGGTGACAATAACCCGTCGTCAGACGAAATAAACAGTGGAGAAAGTGAACTGGTCAGAATAAATTTGCTGGCGTGACAGGGCAGCCATTGACAGGCAAGCAACTAATGTGTGAATGGGGGTGGACAGTTAATTAGGCTGGGATGCGTGGCGGGGGAGGGAAGGGGGAACTGTTGTGGCTCCCTGTGTTGGAGGGTATGGGGGATGACGATTCAATGGAACTATGGGCAGTGGACTTAATGGTCGTCGATCCTGCATGCGGGCGGAGGTCAGTGAGCCCAACGTAGAGGTGTTAGGGGTTGCAGTTCGCCGTGTCTGGGGGAGTAATGGAGTGACGAAATAGGGCGATTCTACATGGCCCAGTGTGGATTAGCGGCTGTTGTTAGGTCGTGGGCGCAAGTCAGTGAGCCGGGCACGCAGACCTTCGTAATGAGCATCTAGATCGACATGGCGATTCGAACCCACGACAGCAAGGGGAGGCTTTAGTGCAGACAACGCTCTAACCATCTGAGCTACGAGGCCCCACCGGACGACGCAACTTTAATCACATTTGAGCCAAGTTTATTCGCCCGACCTACCGAAACTTCTGGTACCACCAAATCTGATACAGTAAGCTGACTGCCCAAGCAGGATTTCCTAAGTAATACATCTAGAATCCACCAGATGACTACCAGACTCACGTAATTCATAGGTGTTATGGCAGATTTCAAATAATTTACTTTGACCCAACTGTGAAAAACCCGGTTCCTCGTGGGATTCGAACCCACGACATCAAGGAAGGGCTTTAGTACAGCCTCCCAATTGTGATTAAACTCCCGTCGTCCGGTGGGGCCTCGGAGCTCAGATGGTTAGAACGTTGGCTGTACTAAAGCCTCCCCTTGCTGTCGTGGGTTCGACTCCCACCGAGGCACTGAGTTTTTCGCAGTTCGGTTAAAGTGAATTATTTGAAATCTACCATAACACCTATAAATTACGTGAGCCTGGTAGTCATCTGGTGGATTCTACATGTATTACTTAGGAAATCCTGCTTGGGCAGTCAGCCCCGAACTGCTGGGGCTCGATCCCGCAACCTGTTGGTTAGAAATCCAACGCCTGTCGTCCTGTCGGTTGCGCTATGCGGCTGCTGACTGAGCTCGAGAGAGAGCCCCAAGGCACAACGGGACGACAGATCAGGTACATATAGTATTCAGCCCATAGGTCGACCCAACTTCTCTCAGTTATACTAGCGTATTTATTTGAAATGTGTGAGCTTAATTGCTGTGAACAGTAAGATAATAACCACATCGTGTTAGATGAAATGTCTGTTTTTGCAAGGTAACTCGGTCTGCAGATATTGACAGCTTGTGTCCCTTTGCTTGGCATCACATTCCGATTGGCTAACGCCTTTTCCACTTTTCTTTGAGATTATTGTACGCACCGTCTATTTCTATGTGTCGGTTGATGAATGGGCTCTGAAAATTCGCGGCTGTTCTTAGATGAGCAGACAACCATAATGCTAGTCTTGGCCAATGCAAATTTGTGTCCAGTTTCCAGCGTATGCATGACAGCCTGGGACAAGTGGTATCGCCTTCTTACTGTCACCTGGTGTTCGTGTATGCGTGTGGAGGCAGATTTCCCAGTCTGACCACGCTAAACCGCATTGCAGGTGTCGCATCGTATCTTATGGACGACTTATTTCATTTATAAATAGCCAACCCTATCCTTAGGCTGTACAAGCTGGTAGCGATGTGTAGATGTCGGTTTGTGCGCCACGTGTATTTGGTGCTTCCTAGGGTGTCTTTCAACTAGTTCTGACTTATTCTTAATGTATGGAAGTGTTCGCCAGATTTTTGGTTTGGGCGCTTGATCGGAACAATCTAGTTCTTTGTCTTTTTCTTTTAACTCCTGTCGCCTCATGCATCGGTGTATAAAATATCTATGATGCCCATTCCGAGAAAACAGTTTGAACAAGTCATTCAGTTCTGTTTGATAGGTTTTGTTGTTAGAGCAGTGAGTTCTTGCTCGGTTAAGCAGGCTGTTCACGGCACTCCTTTCGTGAGAGATCGGGCGATTGCTCTCGTAATGTAAAAGAATTTCCGCGTAGGCATCCTTGCTGTAAACCGAAGTGTGAAATGTCCCGTCAGTCTGTCTCTGTACGAGGACATCAAGAAACGGGAGTTTGTTGTCAGTCTCTTTATCGAGTATGAATGTGATTCCTGGAAGTGTTGACTTAATAATGTTGTGGAGTATTTCCAGTTGATCACATTTAACACTGACAAATGTGTCATCAACATAACATACCCATAATTTGCGGTTAACTAGTGATAAGGCGATAGCCTCTAATTTCTGCATCGTGACTTCTGCGGGAAAACCAGAGATGGATGATCTCATAGGGGCTCCCTCCAGCTGCTGATGGTATTCCTGTACAAATGAAATTTCGTTTCCAGACATAGATCCAGGAGTTCTATCAAAGCGAATGCAGGAATATTGGTGTCGTAGGACTGGAGATGGTCCTTTGTGTATTGTCTTGCTAAATCCGGTGGTATGGAAGTGAACAGAGAGACGACATCGAAGGATACCATTATTTCATCTGTTGTGATTCTCAGTCCCGGTAATTTGTTCAGAAGTTCTATTGAATTATGGATTGATGTTTCACAATTCTTTTTCAACGGATAGAGTTTGTGAAATCACCATGTAGAACTTCCGTAATTAGGTGCACCGATTAAAGATACTATCGGTGGCAGTGGTACCTCATGTTTGTAAACCTTAGGCAGTCCATAGAACTTAGCAATGGCCCGTTCAGTTTGTCGTTAGGATTTGGCAATATCTCCCGATATTTCCTTCTTTCCTGTAAGACGTTTAAGAACTTTTTCAATGGTCGTACTCTGCGCTTTAGTAGGGTCCGTGATAAGAGGTTTATAGGCTGACCTATCCTTCAATAGTGACAACATCTTTTCGTTGTAGTCTGCTTTGTTCAAGACCGCAGTTGAGATCCCTTCCCCTCGGGAAGTATGACAATAGCTTTGTCAGTTTTTAGTGTTTTTAAAGCCTTTCTTTTTTCGTGTGATAGTACCAAAGAGGGATTTCGGTTCTTTAAGGCATGTACAGTGTTGTTGCGGATTGTGGCACGTTCTTCGCCTGTAAGATTTTTTGTTGATATTATAGACTCCAAGTTTGCAAGGAAGTCTGGGTATTTTGAATCGGAGAGAGTATATTTCATTCCTTTAGAAAATACACTTTCTTCGTCTGTTATAAGTCTTTTTACTGATAGGTTCACAACGTTCGTCGAGCAAATTTGCTTTGTGGAATTTCGTTGAGAGATGGCCATTCATTTTTTTGTCTAAAACCCTTCCCTTTTTGTCTTTATATGCCGGAAACAGACAATCGTTTCGTTTAGAAATTCAGCTAAGTGTGAATGGAGACTATCTCGACATAATTTCATATACTGTTCTTTGGAAATTCGGAATTCCTGAAGTTTGTAATGGCCATCGGATATAAACCCGCCAAGCATGCTTTGACCGTAACGTGATGCAATTTGATATCCTTGGATAGTTTTTATAGCAGGTTTTATTTGGACAGATTTTGGCAAAATCTTCTTGTTTCGGCATTTATGTAAAAATGATAACTGTTCTCGCGTGAGACTTTCGCGAATCACACACGTTTCCCACGTTTCACCATAAAGTAAATCACGCACAAGTCACCGTCTTGCTCCACCATGCTGTGGAGCACATGATGGACATCGTCGGATGCTATGGATGAACTGTCGTGGAGCATTTCCAGGGGATTCCTTTTAACGAAAAGAAAAGTGTCATCTACATAACGCACCCATAATTTGGGATTAATTAACGGTAGGACCATAGCTTCCAATTTTTACATCGTGATTTAAGCAAGAAAAGCGGAGATGGGTGATTCCATGAGAGCTCTCTTCATCTGTCGCTAGTATTCGTGTGCAAATCCAAGCGTTCAACCAGTGCAGGTACAGAGGCGTCCTTGTCGTAGGACTGGAGGCGTTTTTCTGCGCATTGCCTTTCCAAATCCAGTGGTACAGACGTGAGGAAACATCAAATACAAGTGGCGCACAAACCGACGACCACATTACGAAACCAACTCGTACACCCTAAGGATTGGGTTAGCTATTTTGATAAGAAACAGGCCGTCTACAATATCCTGTACGACACCTGCAATGCATCGTACTGTGGTCAAACTGCAAAGTCGGCCTCTACACGCATACCCGAACACCAACTGGCTGCGGGGAGGCGAGGCCACGTGTCCCAAGTTGCCATGCACACACTGGAAACTGACTGTAAATTTTCTTGAAACAAAACTCGCATTGACCCGCACATTTAGCTAGATACCGTTTACAATAATCTCAGGGAAAGGCGGAAGAGGCCACAGCCAATCAGCACGAGATGCCAACTAAGGCCATGAATTATTGGCAGGAATTGAAGGACAGTGTCTATTTTATTACGCCTTAGATTGTTGAGCGTTTTGCATATTTGCCACAAGTCTGAAGACGACCCGGGGAACCGGTGTCTAAAATTTGCGCAATTAAGTTTTCTGCATTTTCCAAAGGACTTGTTACTTTTATATATAGTAGTAGTGTATTTAGGGCAATAGACAACGCCCTTGATGACCCCATTGAAAACGGCAAATAAAAGGTCTGAAAGCGTGGGCTATGCCAGTATCAGCAAATCATGGCCCTCGCAGCCTGGTATACACTGGCGGTCCCCTGACAGCTGGTTCCCTTCCAGTAGATGCGCTTGCGTTCCCGCTGGGTATACAGGTGGTGGGCATGGCTGCCCGGTTATCCTCGTCCTTCTGACCCCTGTTGGGGTCTTATTGTTGTTGTTGGTGGTGAAAAATCCTCGTCAAGTGTGTGTTGTGGACCAGGGAGTGTGGTGGCACACCTAGGTGCAGGCTCGGCCGTTCCAGCCGCCTGCGCCCTCCCCCGCCTCCGGTCTTCTTGACTCTGTCTTGACACCGGGTCCAGGTGTGGATTGGGAAGAGAGAATGCGTCAGATGTTGCGTAAGTCTACTATCACTATAACTAATTCACCGCGCCTGCTGAACCTTGCTGTGTAGCACACGGTGGACATCGTCGGAATCGGCGGTCACTATCGAAAATGGCATATACAATATTAATGTTGAAAACACTTGTTACTGAAATGTTGCCAGTAACATGTTCGCTTGCATAAAACGTACATACAGTGGTCGACTGCAAAGGTTACGCCAGGCGGTCCTTTCCATGTACATTTGAGATTATAAGTTCAGTTATATGCAGTCAGCAAAAAATGTAGTCATTTGTGTAGTTTACAGGAACAATGTGCATCAAAAGTGCACGGATGCGCTACATAGGAAGTGATATCAGGAAATAAACTTCATGCCTTGCCGCAGATAGTCCTGCGGTAAGAGTCGTCGTTTATCAAAGGTCTCCATGTCGCTTGGAGGGCCGGAGGGGGTTGCAAGACTGAAATTCTACGTGGCCAGGCAGGGATTAGCAGTTGTTAAGGCCTGCGAACAAGTCAGTGAGCGCGTACGTAAACCCTCGTAGTGAACGCCTATATCGACGTGGCGGTTGGTGCTGGTCTAGGAATTCTCGTGGCTGACTAGTGTTATCCATTGCGTTCATTCCAGTACTTTCCCAATTGAAGCAGTGGTCATACCCAGGTAAATAAGGTTGGGAGAACATGGAGTACTCAAAGAACATCACAATATGATCACTAGCACCAATTGGCGGGAGATCTTGTACATCCAGCACACTCCTCATCTCGGGTGGGTATCAGGTCAAGGCAGTTTGAGCGTTGTCCTTCCCTAACACGTGTTCCGAGAGTTAAATTCTGGAAAAGTACTTTGTCCACTGCCAATTCAAGCAAGTGTTGCCCGAATGTTTCCGATGAACCCAAAATCTTCCAAGCTTGCCAGTCAATATTGGGGACGTTAAAGTCTCCAACAATAAGGACATGCCTGTTCAGGCAGGTCTTTTTTAAGTTCGATTAGGAGAAGGCTATCGTGTTCGGCATTCTGGTTTAAGGGACGGTATATAACTGCAAACGCCAACGGCGGACGTATTTAGTGGAAATAGATGAAAATAAGAATTCCACTTTCGTTGTTGTGGGATGTCGCTCAGGGACCGCGGTTAGATTGCAGCTAACGTAGACAGCGACCCCTCCTCCTCGGTATTTCCTGTCTTCTCTAAACAGTTAATAACCTCTGAGGAATACCTCATGAGCTGCAATAGCTTTAGAAAGCCATGTTTCTTTCAAGGCAATGATATCTGGCGGGTGCTCGTCGACCAGAGTCCTGAGTCCATCCATCTTGTCAAACACGTCCAGTACATTCGAGTACACCACCTTTAGTGGCTGTCTTCTCGGAGGGAACCAGCCCTGATTACAGAGGAGGTTAGCCACAGGAACGATTGCTTGATCTGTATTATCTTCCCTTTCTTTATTTTCAAACCCCTTCTCCCCTTCTTCTGCGCTCTTCTTCAGTTCTGTCCAGAGCTCTCTCGTCTTGTGTCTTACTGTCGGTTCGTAATCCGGCTGAAAAAAACACCTTATGCGAATGACGAAGAGCCATCCTCCCTTCTAGGATATGTGAAGCCTGGGCTTCCCACTTGAAGCCGTGGTCATGCCCAATGTTGTGAGCAAGCGCGAGGGACGGGGGGCCACTCTGGCGGAGGGCTAACTGTTGCTCGTAAATGCGAGTCCCAAGACGTCAGTCTGTATGGCTATTGTCTGTCCTTCCGCGCCAGCCGATCTAGTCTGCCGATCTCACTTTTTCGCCTTTATTTTGTTTTACGACTGGTTGGTGTCACCAACTTGAAAATTCGCAAGCACAACTCGATTTCCCGAATAACCTTTTCTTTTTAAATATCTCATTTTGGAATGCACACTACGTCAGTTATTCAACATACTTTTGGGCGTCAAACGCTTATCCTTACCAGGCGTTAGGAGCAATTCGCACAGTTTACTTTTCACCACCGCTGTCGCGATCATGGTATACTACCGAAGTGTCTTCTATTCAAGCCCACTCTTCCCAATGTGACCGGAAGGCGATCTAAGCGCAAATGTGGATTTTGTATTTTGAGTGCCATTATATCCGACGTCCACCGTCCTCTTTGCCGTTTCGAAGTACTAATTTCGGACCTTAGAAGCCGATGCGTCTCGTACTTACCTGAAGACCTATTTGAAGAAGTACTGCATCGAATAAACGCCACCACCAAGGACGCCAGAATGAAGAAACGGACCAATCTGCAAAAGAAACCGCAGTCTCTTCTTATCTCAACCGGCGAGAACTGAATGTCTACGAGGGTTGCTAGCCTCTCCGTAAAGGATCAAACGTCCGCTGTTTAAGGGAATAAGCTTCATTCACATCGATGCTGAGCCTACAGGCTTCCTAGCCAACCTTGAATCCCTCCTACGGACCTCCGCCGCCCCTGAAGGCATATGTGCGGACATACCCAGCTGTGCCACTGGTTTCCTTCGACAGAGGAAGGATGATTAAACCTTACCGATCGAAGAAGAAAAGGAGTTGCGATCACTGAAAACATATGTTAGTACAGTTATTATGTTTGCTGACGAAGGGGGAGCAACCGTCCTCATGGACAAGGCTGACTACGTCAGCAAGGAAAGCCAAATCTTCAGTAACAGGGAAGCCTACTCACCACTCGCTGTTGGCCCAACGAAAAAACAGGTCGGGGCTATCAAGAAGAAGGTGAATGAGCTTGCTCGATTGAACGTTAGGAGCTCCAATGACTGCAGATTTATTGCCCCCAGTGACCCCCATATCGCACATACGTACGGTCTTCCAAAGGTGCGCAAGGCAGATGCGGCATTGATGATCATAGTGCCACTCGTTAGATCCCCAGCTTACGACCTTGCCCAATAGTTATACAGACACTAAAAGCATCCCACCAATGGATCGCACTACAACATCAAAAACTATCAGGCTTTCCTACAGAAGGTCCAAGGCCTTGAAGTAAGTCCTGACGAATGCACGCTATCGTCCGATGTTCTTGCCCTGTTTTCCTCAATACCGCATGACTTGGCAATTGAGAGTGTAGCTCGATGCCAAGAAAAATCGCATGGACGTTCCAACACGGCATGTTTTAGACATGCTTAGACTCTGTCTCAAGAATCATTGTCACATCGATGACAAGTACTATCAACAGGTTAAGGACATCCCAATGGGCTCGCTAATATCGGGGCTGTTCGCAGAACTACTTTACAGCGACTAGAAGAGAATGTTGTGAGAACTTTCAAACTAAAAATGTGACTCCGTCACGTAAATGACACATTTTTCATCATAAAGACCTCTGAACTTGAGCAGTTGCACCAGAGCTTGAATGGCGTCTTCCTGGCCGTGCAGTTTACTCGCAAAGAAGCAACAGGACATACCCTCCCGTTCTTAGATGTGAGTATACAAAGACTTAGTGATGGCAAACTAGCAACAAGCGTCCACCAAAAAGGCTAGTGTCAAAGTCGTCCTCAACTATGGAAGCAATCATCCTGCGGCCCATAAAAGATGCTGTGTCCGCACTCTTTTCCGTCGGGCCTTTCGTCACTGCAGAAGTGATGACCTACTTAAGAAAGAACTGATCTACTTATGTCGGTTGTTCCGGTCAACAGATATCCAACTGGCTCTGTCACAAGTTGTCTCAGACGCCAGCGACAACCACGCTGCCTTGGATTTTGACCGAAAGGTGATAAAATGCAGAATTGGAGAACTATTTGTCAATGTACATTCCGGCATTACCAATCCCAAACTGGAAATCGTAAACTGTTTATTGGAGATTTGCCAAAATTCACTGGGACTCATTAAAAGCTAATTCAGCTAGTCAATCTGATAGGACAAAATGCACCAGTATGTAAGGAAAGGCGAACAAAAGATGACGACAGTTCGACCTTCGCGCCCGACGATGTCCACCGTGTGTTCCACATCCAGGTGGAGCAGGCACGGTGACTTGCGCGTGTGTTAGTTTATGGTGGTAGCATACTTGCACAGCGTCTACCGCGCGTCCTCCTCCCCCACCTGGACCCGGTGTCAAGACCGGAGGCGGGGCAGGGTACAGGCCGAGCCCGAATCTTGACTCCATTCCACACCCCTGGTCCACACAGCAAATGACCAGGATTTTAACCAACAGAAATGGAGGTGGCGACAGAGGTCTCAATGTGCGCGACGTCTGCCGGCAACCGGATCTGCCACCTCACCCTAAAGTGCTGGCATTTGTTTTGGTGCGCATTCTGATAACGCCTGCCAGAATCCGATATAGCCTCCGTGTTAGTCCAGCGCATCTACGTGGACCGTATGGGGGGACAAACAAAAGACATTAGGTCCACGACACACTGAAAAAACGTCTTATTATGACACCAGGGAGCTACAAACACTCGATTAATTAGGCAAGTTAGCGTGGAAACAAAGAACTATCGCATTTAACCCTTTCAATTCCCCTTTATATGGTATAAATAAAGGTGTGTACGCAGTATCATTGATTTACGCTCCTTTATCTCAGGTTGCTAAAATAGAAGGAAAGGGTGCCAAGCTGTAGCAATAAAAAGGAGTGAAGAATCCTTCGTTGCAAAACTGCACTATCAGCATACTCTAATCTAGTACACGCAAGTAAATGAAATTCAGTAGCCACGGAGGTTTAAAAGAAGCGAAATCAGGACGTTTATATAAAGCAAGCTGTTACAACAAACCCTTCGACATGCCAAAACCGTACGTTTTTATTTTCTGGGCCCCTATAGTGTCAACAAGACCTTCTTCGACAATATTCCTGGCGGAGGCGTATCGCATTCGGAACAGTGCTCCTTACTACAGCAATACGTGATCACTTTCCTGACTACAGCGGTTGGATTCCCAGGCAAATCTCCGCTGCCAGATCGCGTTGCCATCTGGCCAGCCGCGCAAACCAATGTCTCCTCCGACTGGGTGCATGTTTTTGGAATCGATGCAATTCAGAGCCCCGCTCCTGCAGCAGCTAACGGAATGTAAGTTACCAGCTGGTACTTCCCTAATGTAGGTCTTTCCAAAGTAGACGAGAGAAAGATTGTGAAAAAAACGGAATTTAACATAATTAAATTCCATGACCTCTAATCCAACTGCAGATGGACTTTACCCACTTGAATAAAGGCGGGTCGTCGAGTTTGATGGTCTTACAGCATGGCTACAAGTTGTTGGACTGAGCCACGTGAGTGGTTCTGATAAGCGGGAATAGAGCGGGATCAGTTAACACAATGGCTACTAGGCTGGCGGTAGCACGGTCCATTTAATCATGCCATGGAGTCTTTGCTCGATTATTTCGGAGCGTTCCTTGCTATGTTGGTGGACGCTTACCGTGAGAAGCGCCCGCAGATCGACATTGACTGCCGAATCGACGGAAAACTTAAAAATCCGTCGTATACAAGCATTTTCGAGAGAATCCAAGACCAGCGTCCATGGCCTGTTGTTCGCGGATGACTGTACGCTAAAAATCGCAACAAAAGAGGAAATACAGTGGTCGGTTTGACCATCAACACGGAGAAGGTAGAGGTCGTGCACCGACCTGTCCCAACTGCTGATCACATTGAACTCCCATATTGTTGGATGAATTTCTTAGGGTGTTCGTTAGCCAGTAGGAGCTTCTTGGAAATCTATCTTTTCGTCCAGCCTTTCAGTATAGCGTATTTTACTTGCAGAATTAAAGAGACATTGCATTACATTTTTCCTCTCCTGAATGGGAACGATGTTAAGGAAGTGAAGACAGTACTCTTTCTTACTTGTATTTTGATAACTGGAACTCTGAGTGGAATCATCTTGCCTATGTAGGAGAGTATCCAAAAGGGTTAATTTGTTGTTCCCTTCTGGCATTGCATGTACCTGAGTCACAGCCATGAGCAATTTTTTCCGAGTATCGTCAACGAATTTCGTGTAAAATGCTACTCGTTTCAAGACCTCGGAGAGACTTCACTCGAGGCTGCGTATGCACACCCTTTCTAGGACTTGACCCAGTTCTCATCATGTTTGTGTCCCTCAATTATGGCAGCTTACGAACAGCCTGCGTATGATCATATTTTTAAATGTTACTCAAAATAAATAGCAAGTTGACTGTCAACTGTCCAATTTTTCGCAATGCCCTAATAAGTAAGAATGAATTTCTGCCTGTGAATCTACTCGTGTGGTCGGGGCTCTTGCACGTTAGAAGATCATTTTCAGATGCGATTTTATGGCTACGCACGCGAAAACTACTTGTAATTTCGACAGCGGTTTGTTATCATCGCCTGACAGGGTCGTGGATTGAAAGTCTCGGCGCGGTCGTATTACGTCGATGTCACGAGTTTGTTGGCTGCACGATGAACATCAGTCATTAACGCCTGGACTGTAAGCTCTAAATAAAGTGAGGAGGGCTTGGCAGAACCCGCTTTCTTGAAGTAAAACTCATAAGCGGTTGGGGCAGGGCTCTATTACGCTGTCCAGGTCTGTCGACGTGTTATTATCTTAGTACTATGATTGATTTCGGTATGCAGTTAGCAGTTAGTTTTTTGTCTCCGCCCAGATGTTGTGGGTTACGGTTAGGTTTGGGGTAACGCGAATGGCTTGCTCTTCGCTTTCTTGGGGGGGGGGGGGGCAGGGTAAGGTTTATTTTCAGCTCTAGGGTTAGTATTAGGCTAATTCTTCGGCCTGAGATAAGGGCTATCCTTCGGCTTAGTTTTTTGGTCCACAGGTAGGTTAGGATTGGTTTTGTCAGTTTGGCGGAACGTTCTGGGGTGACGGTTGGGATTAGAATCACGGTTGGCATTAAGGTGTTTTGGGTTAGAGTTCGGGACACTGTCCGGCTTAGAATATTAGGCTCTGAGGCAGATTTAGGCATGCGGTCCGGCCTTCAGTTACGTTTACTGTTAGGTTTGAGGTTACGGTTAGGGTTGAGTTTTGGATTAGGATCGGGGTTAGGGTTAAGGTTAGTTTTGGGGTTAAGCTTATGGTTATGGTTATAGTAAAGGTTAGGACTACGATTCAGGTTAAGGTTAGGAGTAGGGTTTCGTCTAGTGCCACGCTTATGATTGAATTGAGGCTTACGTGCAGGTTTGTTGTTTAGTTGGCTTTAGATTTTGGGTTACCCTTTGTGGGTCTTGCTTGCGGCGATTAGGGTGTCCCCCAGGTGTTCCGCTTGCGATGGCATATCTTATACATTTCTTTCCTACGTCTTCCTTATCTTCCTCCGCTTGCGTTTACCCTTCTTCGGCCTCCGGCGATTGGGTTTCCTGCATGGCAGTCACCTTGCGTAGAATACATATGTGATGTCTTAGCGGTCACAGCATGCCCGTAATCCGCATTTCCTGTTAGATACGCTTTGTAATTATTTTTGTTTCCCATCCACTTTCTGCTCTCTGGACAACGAACTAATTTTCCTTGCCTTTACCCAGCGACACGCCATACTCATCAGCTCCTGTGTCTTTTACCCGATTCCTTCCTCCGACTACCTCCGACCAGTCCATCTGCTTTCTAACCTTTAGCCCTTCTGCATCCTCTAACATGTGCATTTGCTATTGATAGTGCCGCTCCCCCCGCCCACATGCCTTGGGCCCCTTTTGCGCTGTACTGCGCTTTCGTCTCGTGCTCCGATTCCCTTCTCTTTTAGAGGTTTCGCCTTTACCTCTTCTTTGCTCGTACAATCGGCTACGTCAACATCCACGCAATGCTTTGTCTGTGGTGTATACGTACCGCTTGGTCAGTCTAACTCTTACCCATCGCCTCTTCGTTTACTTAGGTTCCGTTGGGGTACATTAGAAAAACAAAAAACCAGACTTTAGAGACCGCTTTATTTGCACAATTACTATAAGCTTCTATCCGGTTGCAATAGTATTCGCTGTGCGCCGCCCTGGTTTGCGTAGCCACCACTTTTTATATGCCCGTGTAGGTTCACTTATGTGTTCTGCTGCACGGCAGCCGTCGCCCGCTTCATCTTCTCCGCGGTTTCCAAGTTTACCGGGTAGGCTTCGACTATGTGCCGCTTGAAGATCTTCCATACATTATCCGCGTGCTCGCGAAGTTGAATTCGTGTCCCTCCTCCAGGGTGGGAGTAGCGACCTGAGACAGTCGGTCGCCTCTCCGGACTGCCCATATATGCTCCATTATTCGCGAGCTAAGCCGTCGTCCGGTGTGTACTGTGTAATGGCGTTGGCAGTCCCGGCGTGTGATCTGATAAACGGCATCCGATTGTTCATCTACGTCTAGTTGGTCCTTTATTTGCATGATTTTGTTGCGCATGGTCGCTGTCGGACGGTGAGCGATACCCAAACCGAGCTCTGGAGCAATACGTTCCGTTGCTTCGGGCATATTCTTAATATACGGTAGAGGGTGCCAGGTTGTTGTCGTCTCTCCTCCGTTTCTTCGCCGTGGGTGCGTTCTGCTGCACGGCAGCCGTCGCCCGCTTCATTTTCTCCGCGGTTTCCAAGTTTGCCGGGTAGGCGTCGGCTATGTGCCGCTTGAAGATCTTCCATACATCCGGTAGGTTATCCGTCGGTATTTCACTTCGTCTTTATGCGCCCGTACCGCCCTATCAGATACCGGACCACTTTCGGGCAGCTTTCTTATCAGATGGCTCCAGTAGCTTTCTACTGCATTCGTATGCCTACCCGTCGTGGGATCAACAAAGTTTCGTCTACGGTTCTCAGTGTAGTGCTCATATCCGACTGTGGGCACACGGGTATGGCTCTCTCACTCATAGCTTAGATTTAATTTTCAACCCCTTTCTGTAAAGCTGTTTACGTTTTTTTCCTTATTTTCATTAAGTTTGACCGCTTGATCCTCTTTCTTACCTTATCATCGCAGTTTTTGTGTGCCTGCTTTGTTTACTGTTTACTACGCACATCTGGCACCCACTTGCTACAGCATTAGCGTCCCCATGTCATTTCCTCTGGTTCTGGCTTTGTTCGGTCCAGCTTCAGTGACCTGCACCGTCTAATCATGTCCTTTGGTTTTTTAGGTTGCCTTAACCATTTTTTAAAACTATGCGGTCGTTATGTTGTGATTGTTGTTCTCATGTAAACAGCTGTTGTACTTTGTTGTGTTATTCCGTGGCAGAATAGCATCGTTGGTGGACTTTGTCACTTTTTTCCTCCTGTCCCACCCGAAAACCCCTATTGCCACGGTTCCCGTATTACACGCGTCTACCTTTGCTTGTCTGGGACTCGGGCAGCGTAATAGTGCCTTGCTGTTCTCTATTCTCGTGTCTTGCCGAACTGTGTACCATTGTAAATGCTACGGTGCATCTGGCTGAAAGAGCCCCAGTGAAGTGTTTGACTGATGTTACCAACGTCGGTTCTCTTAGTGAAAAAACGTTTTCGGTCTCGTTATTTCGTAATGAAAGCTGCGAATTGCACTGACTTAAGCATAACTACCGTTTGGGGCGTTGAATTTTGACCTTGGACTTATCGCTTTTATCTCATCGAGACATCGAATGTCAAAAATTGTTTTTGTGGAATCTTCGAGAGGGATTTGCACCCTCTAGTGGTACTATCAGCCATAGCTGGTCGCACTTATTCAGCACACCGTTATCGATAACTCATAGGTTTGGCTTCGCCGTCTAGACAAGCTGTTTGCTGTGATAAAAAGGAGCTTTGGATTTCATAGACTGCAGGCACAACCTTTTATGAAGATTGTGTGATAGTCGAGCGCTTTGTCATTTAAACGATGAACAACTCTACGAATAAACTAGTTTCAGAACGTCGCGCCGGCTGTGTTATGACCCGAACTGGTGCTCGGCAATAACACGAACCGTATGAGTGCACGACTGTTGTCCCAAACCCCAACATGCCAGAGAAGCAAAGCATGACCAGCCATGAGAAAATGTGCTGAAACCTGCAAGTCATCCTCAGTGGACGACGGTGTGTACCCATAGCACCTTTTTCGGTTTGTCCAGCATTCTGTCCAGTCCGCTTCAAGGAGAAAGTTCTCGAATATCCGGACGACTTCTTGCGGACGTGGACCGATCAGGTTTTAGGGGAGTGCTGTGGACGCATCCGACGGTGAGGCGGCGTCGACTGCGCGTTTTTGACGTGCGGCGGGGGACGCGCGCGTGTGATGTCTGACGAGATTAACCGACTTTTTGGGAATGGGGACATTCCCAACAGGCTGGAAAATGGATTGATTAAAAGTTAAGGTACATCCACCCCTATGTAACCTTTTGCATCCATTTCTGCAGGAGGTATCACTAGAAATACCTTAAATACATCATTTTAATAGCCACTGTGCCATTAATGACCTTGACACTTGGGATGACTGTTTTCGCTTCAAAAATTCCACCTATATTCTTCACTAAACATATTCTTCAAAACTGTACCTTCGCCCCCTGCCCACTTTCTAAGCCCTCATCTCTGTCATTTAGCCAGCTTCCCAAATTGACACACAGTACCACCACGTTAGAAAAGACTGCTCGCAAATTCAGCTCGCGTTTCCAGTCAACAGTCGTCGCCTGGGTGGGCTTTGTCAAATTCCAGGGAGATCAGGGTTAACGTTCAGGCTAAGGTTAAAGTTAAGACATGGGAATATATATCCTTCCTGAAACTTAGTGCAAGGCCGCTTGCATTACCCGGAGTTCCCGTTGCCGTGCCATACCCACAGTTCGCCAACTTGCCACCTGCGTGCGAATCGTTCCGCTGTGGACAAAGGCTCGGTTAAAAGGCTATGCGCCTTATGTACAGTTATTATGCAGCTGGAAGCCACGGACGTGGACTTATTTTCGTGTGAAATATCATCTCTACTCGCTGACTAGTTACTGACCGATATTTATGACCGAACATGCTCTCGCGGCTTGGTCTGTTGTTCAAAAGCATGATATCTCACAGACGACCAACAGGAGTGGAGCAAAGGAACCACTTTACGCTGAGGATACTGAAAATCTAACAACTTAACCTGATGCCTAGTACGCCGGATTGACGGCTACCGGCGCTGTCCAGCTTACACGTTCAGGTTACGCGGTCTCTTATGCAAAAGCTTTGCCATTGAATCTTTATAGCGCCTTAAAGGAGATTAAGCATTCTGCCTCTGGCACCCACGCCGCGCTAGGAGTCGTGTGATCACGACTCCCGAGCGCCAGAACGTGAGCTTATTCAACTCCGAGCATAGCCATTCACTGACGCCCACAAATTCCACTATCACTCAATCAACTGACCAGGCTGACACTGACTCACGCCCACGTCGCCCTAGCGCACGGACGCGCGCGGCCCTACAGCCGGCCCCGCGTTGAGGGCTCTGACAGCCACCAGGCTTCTGTACAGAATATACTACTGTCGGTGTCTTTCCCTTGTTTCTCTAAAACTGTGCTGGACCGTGATTATTGTGGCGCTCTGAGTGCACTTTTGTTGCCGACAGCCATCATGGCCATATCTGGCGTCCTTGTTCAGGACCCAGTTGCGTTAAGGTCATTCACCTTCGCAGCTAGCAGTTCCAGGTGCGCTGGCCTGCAGCCACTCGACTGACTTCAACTCGGAAGCACATGTGTCCACAGAGTCGCAGCAGCTCATACGCCACTTGAACTCACTATCCCCTGCGAATGTAACATATGTAAGCCACTTGAAGACCCCCCCCCTCGACAGATCAACACACCAATTGGACACCATTTCAGATTGCCCCTCAAAACTAGAAAAACAGCTGCCACCTGTGTGTCAATGACTCAGGTATGACTGGATACCGTCAACGCCAGCCCTGACCTTACCAGCGGTCACTGACGCCTGAGATGACAATTCGGTGTTCTGTATGAGATAAACCCCTTATTCTGGTGACTTCTGTCTTTTCCTGCAACACGGAATTTGGCCTGATGATTGTAGCGTCCAGAGTACACTTTCACCGTCTTGCCGCCACGCTCACTGTTTAGACACCGCAACTTCGCCAGCATGCGCGCTAAATTTTCACGCCCGGACGGTAACATGCTGATATCTGATTTGTGCGAATGTATGTACATCGGGATTATTTTAGATTGCGGTGATCTACCGACCTGCGAGCCACTGTTCTACGATCAAGGAGTGTTACTGATAGAGCAAAGAAACACAGAGATGCCCACTTCTGGCTTATTGGTTATCATCAGCCAGCGACTCCAGATCCCCAGTTTTTGGCTCATTCGGGGTTTGGATCCGGATCCAGTGGGCCATTGAACAATTAAGTCTAACGTCCTAACTGTCTGGGCCACCGGACTGACGCCCGGTTGACTCTGGACTCTAACTCGTTTGCTTTGTCCGGAGGTGCTCGTTAGTGTCTTTTCAAGACGCCCCATCCAAATCCTGCCAAGTTCTGTGGCCCCAAAAATGGCTTGAACCATCGAACCCATAGTAAATTCCTCTTCGGCTGACGTGGTCTGGGAGGTCTGACTCCCAGACTTCACAGTAGGCAGACCAGCTGATGATCCCATAATTCACTTCAGCCCTCAAGTTGTAATCATTCGCGCTGACAGAGTCTGTAAATAGTCCAGCCATAAAGCTGTATTTACACTGTCTGCATGAAATGCATGCCTCGTGCGTTCAAATACAACCGACTACGATGTTCTGAGACCAAATAGGGACAGTGGGGTTTCTTACCTACCAGAACTCAAGCTTGCTGTATTCAGTCGAACTGGAACCCACCACGTGAGGCGAACTCAGTAACTTTTGCAATAAAACTCCTGAACACACACGGCTAAGCAGTTTCTTGCGTGAACAGCGTTTATGCACTGAAGATCTGCAGGATTATGGTGCTTATTCAGCAGTTCTTCGAACCAGGTGACTGAACACTGTTAGTTGTCAAAAGAAGAGACGTTCATCGGGAGAGGTTTATTTGAGGCCTGACGTTTCGAGTAGTAATTGCGTCTACCTATCATCTTTTGAAATGTCGCCTAGGGATCGCATTTGCACTAATACTGACTACCAACTGTACACAAGGAAGCTACATAATTTTCCCCCAGCTCCTTTTAAAGTCTCCTGACGGTTAATTGTTAGGAATTAATCCCGAGTCCTGGAAATTACTGGCGTGCTCGGCACGTTTGCAGTGCTGAATCAAGTCTATCTCCAGCTGGTAGGCCACATTGTTGGAATATCAAGTGAGCACCTCTGAAAACGACTCTGCCACTGTGATGGTGATGTTACAGAGGCCGTAGAAGGAAATTATGGAATTAATGCTACAAGGACACCCTGAAACCTTCACTCGAATGTCTCGGGACCAGTCAGGGTTCCTTGGAAATCGTCGCACAAGATCGTCAGGCATGACGAGGCGCCACAAAATCTGGAACTGTAGTATTTGAAGCCAACGTATTACATGAAGCGGTGGCGATGCGACAAGGACGTGGGTCTGTTATACAGCGAAACAAAACTTTGAGCGTGTCCTTACCGCCAACGCACATTCCGGGCTCGCACAGACCTTTTTGGCACCTATAAACTCTCCGTAACAATAACTTGGACATGATGCTGAAGATCGTTTACAACACTCCAATTCAATTCCAAAGGGGCCATACCGGCGTTTGTAGTTCAAGGTGGAGCAAAATTGGTGGAACCTTTAACGTGCAGATACGAAATCTGTCTCCAGGCATGCTGCCACCTGCTACCACTTCTGTCGCCTCGCCAGCTACTGCAGCTTCGTTCATTGACTTGTCCCACCTGCTCGACACCCGGCTAAACGCTACCCACTCATTTATAACTCAACTTCACGGCAGAATCATTAAGGAAAGTCCAACCGTCGGCGCCTCCCTATACACTTGCCGTCAAAGCCTATACCTGCGACAGTTAGACGGTCGCAAGCTGCGAAGTTCACCGCGTGCCCCATGGAGTGGGCGCAGTACCAGTGACTTGCACTCGAATTAGTTTGTAACGGGGCAGACTTATGCAGCGTGTGCCGCACTCTCGCCTACCACACCCACATTGCTCCGGTGGCGGCACAATGTTAGGACGAACGGAGGCGGGGTCGGCCTTAATGGTTGACAAAGCTAAACGGTCCGTCTACGCGTGCCGCAGGCAACCTTGTTTTTGCAGAATATGCTAGGATTTCCTAGGGGGCGATTGGGACCCAACATGTGTGAGTGCTATAAACGACCGCATTTAGAGGGAGCCACTGCAGCCTGATCCTCGGTCACTCCAAAATACCATGAGGGCTGAGTTACCCCGTTAGTTAGTAACCTTTCAAGTCATATCTCTTAGCGCGTCGTGGTAGAATCATGTGTGTCAGATTTACTCGAGTGAGGAATGCGCTGATTTGCCGGTGGGATGGATTCCCCAGGGTCAGCCTCTATTCCCTTCCCCATACACCAGTTGACTGTCCGAGCCTGTCAGCCAATCGATGATGATGGAGTGACATAACCTTTAAGATGGCTTTCGGCTATAATCTGTGACTTATTATCCTCTTCATACTTTTGTACGCCGACAACACGCACTTGCTTGCTCTTTTCAGCGGCTGTTCGGAGTTCGTTCTGGGCCAAACCATCACATTTCAGTATGCCAAGTTTGGTTCGTTGGCAAATCCTGTTAGACGAATCGTCGGTGTCTCCTATTCATTAGTGCGCGGGACTTTACTCCTCGACGTAAGTTTACCTTGTTGAAAATAAAGCAAAAAATTATCCTGCTTAATTGGTGAAGACGCGGCTTCTTATTCTTTTTAGACTACCTTTAAGTGGATGTTAACAGACGCGACGACTTTGTCTTTAAATAGTCAATCAGCGCGTTTCGCGTATCTAAGTAAGCTTTTGAGTCAGAGTCAGTTGGAGACCTGCAGCACTATTTTCTGATGTAGGAAACTCATGTGGGTTCTGTACAGTGCAGTCTTAATGGTACTCTTGGTGCCGACAATGCGCTTGCCGAAATCTATCAAAAGCAGGCTGCGATCTGCAAAATCAAAGTACAAAAGACGATTCAGAGTATTAGCTTCTCTGGCCGTTTATAGTCAACAAAGTAAATGAGATTGGATGGACGTAGAACACCTACTACTAAGGGGGATGGATGAGGAAGTCCTTTAAAAGAAACCGAGGAAAAAACACCATGTAGTAAACTGTTGCTCGGACATTAATTCTGTCCATGTAGTGATTAAGTAGAGTAGCATGCTTTAAGGAAGCAATTGTATGACTTAGATGTAAGTTTAGGGGCTTGCTGAGTTGACGGAATCAGCTATGTCGGGTTTTGTAAAAGATAAGGTGAGAAAATTTCGGATTGAGAGGAATGCACTTTATTTTGAAAGTTAAATTTAAGATTTTCAGCAAAAAGGGCCTCCATTCACTGTGAACAGAATACAACTTAACAAATTACGCAACAGTCAAAAAGGTTGAAACAAAAAGAATACTCATTACGGGGACAGTTAAAGTCTCAGTTTATATATTTCTGTCTCTTCACTCGTAAGATAGCGTGCATGGAATGGCAATACAGAAGGCTAACACGCAGATGTACGGTAAGATTTACCGCAGTGAGTGACCAATCTCGTGAAATGTTGGCCAAAATTCTGAAATGCGTTTTCGATTAGAAAGCTTACTTAGGTGGGGTTGTAATAAGGATGATCCCGCGGAATACTTGTATAGTATTTCGGATTTGGCCGGATGTCGGCTTTTGAATGCATTTCTTTTCAATCTCCTGTCGAAACCGTAACCGGTAAGAATGACTACTTAAGTAGCATGCATTTTTCACACTGATTTTCGATGGTTTTATAAATTCAAATATATTTTATAAGAAATGCGAACAAAGAGATTCTTTCACTCTTTTGATAGAGAATCACGTCAATTTCATAGTTTATACTCAAAGAAAGAGTATTATTAGATTTTAAAACAGGAAATTGGAAAGAAGTGCATTCAAAAGCCAACATCCTGCCAAATCCGAAAAGTTATAGGATTATGTCGCCGGATCATCAGTATTACAGTCCCACCTAAGTTGTCCTTCCTAATCAAAAACGAATTCCAGAATTTTAACCAACATTTCATGAGATTGGTCACTCACTGTATGTCGAAAGCCACGGGGCATGGAGCGGATGGGCCTCGCACAACTAAGTTCGGGAAGGGAAATTCGATTATCGCCATCCGTAAACAATGTGGACGTCCGACTAAGGTCGACGTTAAGCCTGCAAAAAGGTCCTCTGCGCGCAGAAAATAACGTTTATTGCGATCATTGCTTTTATCGCCACCAGGATACTTTACCGTCGTGACTTGGTGAAACATCCGATACAAGCGCTGTATCTGTGTTTTTTAGTTGAGGAGCTTTCTACTTTATGAATTTATACTCTTCTAGCAGCCCTGAATGCGATGTTCTGGATTGTTTTGCGCCGTGGGAGACCAAATTTCAATTAATCTTTGGTCATGTTTAAATTACTCCTGCGAATAGTGATATCGGTATCGTCGTCTCGAAAACTCATGTTAAAGAACCAAGTAAATGTTAGCTAACATAAAATCACACTGTCTATACTTTGCGTAGCTGGGCTGGAGGGACAGCTAAGGAAACTTGGGGGCGGTGACGACAGACGTGCGGGCAAATTGATACAGCATTATTTCAGACTTACTCTGCCTTAATTCAGCTCATCGTAATCCTACCCACCATATGGAACCTGAAACACAAAAGTACTCATTCGAACACACAGCTGACTAGCAGACAGCCTCTATCTGATTTGTCATAAACAATCTAGACGAAACCGAAGTTCATCAGCGTCTCACCTGATACGCTGCATATCTGCCATGTGGTCATGCAAGAATAATAAGCACATGCTGGTACATTGGCCTCTTCAAACAAACAAACTCCTAATGCTATAATGTCTTAACCCAGTTCGACCTGGTAGGTGGTTGCCCGCTCGTGACCTCTACAACGCACCTGGAGATTGTTTGTGCATAAAAGCCAAGGCATCGGCGTTAGCTCAGTCAATAAGAACTTTGACCTTCGCATGTAAACTGACATTGGGCACGCGTATGAAGATTTAGTCATGTTACTTGCATGCAGTGGTTTAAGACAGCAGGTCGCACACAGTTTTTGGCCATTGACCCACCTAATGCTGCATAGTTCCTACTAATTGACCGTTTTAAATTCCATCTGAGACGCGCCTCTCTTTTTTCATTACGGCGGCTACTCACAGACGTGTAAGCTTGTGGAAACTCACTTGTTTCCTCCGGTTTTTAGGGTCTTGAACGCGACTACGAGATCAGTACTCGGATCCGCTTCCTTGATGTCAGTCCCTCTCCCAGTGTGATCGAGATGGAACCGCCACTCTTGGTGCTCAGACTACCGGAGGATTTCTTCTATCCCTTCTTTGTTACTACCTAAGACATGAGGAATTCCTGCTCCTCCACCACAGTCCCTTACTCACTCTTCCGTTTACCCTTCAAAAGTTTTTGCATTTGTATACCCCCAACTTTGGATTTTTTAAAGTTTTTGACACTAAACCCCGTAAAACACGTGCACATGTGTATGTATCAGTGTGCGCTTGTCCTAATGGTCTTCAGGTATGGGTATTCTCACACCAGAGGGAGCTCACTTTATCCAGACCTCCTAACGGCGATGGAGAGGAAGTGTGAGGGTTTTGTCTGCAATTATCAGACTATAGTGCCGAAGCGTGAGGACCGACCATCTAGTTGACTCAATTAGCCAGTCTTTTAATGATGCCCTGCCAACTAATCAATTATTCAGAAAGCCACCGAATCTATTATTTTTGGCTCCTTAAGGGGTCGTCCACCCGTAGTCTTCTGTTAAATGTCTCGCCGATGGAAGGGCCACACGTACTGCTCGAAGTGTTTTCAAGACTGCTCGCATAGGTACATGCATAGTTACAGTACATGGCCTAACTCATGAAACTTTATGACGGAGACCAAAATGAAAATTTCCGAGCACTTCAAATATTACGCATTTTGCTTACTCGCTCAGCTTCTTCTGATGTCCTTTTCTCGCGCATAAAATGTGTCTGAGTGATTTTACCAGGCAAAGTAATCATAAATGTCGGCGGAAATTGACGTTATGGTGTATGTAGGCAATTTCGTGTGCTGGCACCTGTCCCAGACTTCGTTTACGCATCTGAGCCTGTTTTTCTTTGAGGGGGGAGTAATTAGCCCTCGAGAATTTTACTAAGCAGTGCTTGACGCTCTGTTGTACATTCATAATCACACATGGGGCCCAGAAGTGGTCAACGGTAGCGAAAATGGCCGCAGAATATAACAAAAGATATGCTATTTCATTAACAGCAGAAGAATAATCAGTATCTTTCAGAATATTGACAGAAACGGCACAAATTTCGATTTTTCTTCTTAGCTTCACCCTGTAAAAGTGTAAAGTACACGGACATCCGTCAACAGAAAGTAGCATTTAAACACCCGTTAAATAGGTAACCTATCAGCAAACGTTGTTCATTTTGTCGAAAGCATATTCATTGCTGACTTCTGTTGTAGACGTTCATTTTTTCGACAACGAGGTTTCATGTTTGAACGAGTCTTTAAATGTGATCCACACGACCACCTACATAAAAAGAACGCCCAAGCACTTACTGCTTCGATAAATGCCTTCAATAAGTATCTTGTTTTGGAGGTTTTCATAAACACAGTGTGGAATTTTCCTTAACAGGCAATCGATTGAAAACACGGTAAATCAGGAAGTATTCAGCGATACTTCAGGGCCGATCTGAAACTAAATGTAGCCCGGAACAAAGGGAAAGTTCAAATCAGTTTCACAGAGGAAACCTTTACACACAAAGTATTATACGTCTGCGATTAGGCCCGCCAGTTATACTTAAGTTTGTAAGCCTGACAATATGTGATCCTGTGAAAACCTGTCCCTATCGGCGAAATCAAGCAGAATTCTGTTTGCCCGAGTGAACCACATAAATTAGTGTAAGATCGAAAAAGTACAAGGGATTTTTGGGAAACCGTTTCGGAATAAATCATCAGAATGTAGGCTGTTGGCAAACCGCCGTACCTGACAATACACTCAATCTTAGGGAATGTTTAAATGTAAACCTCAAGGAATATTGTCGAACGTTCTATTTGTAATGTCTTATTTACTCGCTTTTTGCAGGATCACATTTTCTGCATATTTGGAACTAAAGCTAAATAAAATACAATTGCTTTTGATGCTTTTCGAGTTTCCCGATTTTTCTAAACAAACTTAGCATTTTAAACGACGAAAAATTTCTTTTATACTCTCGTATGTTTTCAGCCCGTGCCATGTTGTTTATTATTATGGATATTAAGGTCATGTAACTGTGTCGGTTTGCGAGTGATTGGAAGCCATTGGTAGATACGGCACATCATAAGGTAGGTAACCTACTGTGGCGAGGCTCCGATGAACTTCGGCTCCAAGAACTGCTTATGATCCATCGGGTAGACCCCAGTGCTGGACCAACTGCGTCAGGTGCGTCTGTGCGCATGTTTGTGTTTCTGGTCCCAGCTGCTGGTCAAAGTTATGATTGCCTGAATGAAGGCAACAGTACTGCATCAATTTATCCGCATGCTCTGTTGTGCCTCCATCTCTGCTATCATGACTTGGCCGACTTCGGTCTGTTCGTGACCTTTCCCAGCTATACGGAGCTTCTTGGCTTCGGGAAGCCATTAGATCGGTATGCGCCCATCCTGATTGAATAAATGCACCATCTGCAGCCACTGAGAATGGCAGGTGGCGAGGCACTGATGAACTTCTGTTCCACGAAGTGCTTATGACCCATCTGGTAGACACCAGTGCTGGACCAACTGCGCCGGGTGTGTCTGTGCGCATGTTTGTGTTTCTGGTTCCAGCTGCTGGTCAGGCTTATGATTGCCTGAATGAAGGCAACAGTGATTAGAGGCGTGGACTTCTAACTAACAGGTCGCGAGTTCGAGCCTCGGGTCTTCCACACTTCGGTGTTGGGTTTGACTGGCTGACGACGGCTAATAAGCCAGAAATGGCCATTCCGGTCTCCCTTGTCTTTGTCGTTAATGATATTCTGCCTATATCATGCGCCGCTGTGCGGCTGCTGGTTGGGCTCGAGAGAGAGTCCATAAGGCACAACGGAACGAGTGAGTTCCGTAAGAACGATCGGTGAGCGCCCCTATATATATAATATATAGGCAGCTCGCTAAGAGTGCAACAGGCTTGTTGAACTCTTAGCGAACGGCCTACGTAAAATATTTATTTGTGCTGGAAAACGGGCATCCCAAGAAATATAATTGAAAATAAGTAAGAATCTTTGGGAAGAGAATAACCTTTACTGCGTAAATTTCTGAGTCTGTTTCCCCACATCGTCGTCAGACTTTTGGACTTTGTACAAAAACAGTTAACTATTTAACCGTATCGAACAAGTGAATCTATGGTTGGCCGATCCCTGCGCCAATGCGCGGCAATGATTTTCGTCATCCCCTCGGCATTGGCTGTGCTCGCCTCCAGTCGTCCTTGAGAAATTTGTATGTGGCATCTAAATCCATATGCCCATTGATACATGCCTCATCTGAGTGCATTGCCTCCAGGAATTCGCGGCCTTTCCTTATTGAGCAGGCGTCAACAATGTGAGTGTTCTCCCATGCAAATTTGTGTCCAGTATCCAGTATGTGCATAGCCACCTGGTATAGATGATCTCGTCTCCTCTCCGCTAACTGATGCTCGTGTATGCGGGTAGAAACAGATTTCCCATTTAGGCCATAATAGACGGCATCACAACTGGAACAGGGTATTTTGTAGACAACACCTTTTCTATCAAGATAGCCAACCCTGTCCTTAGGGTTTACAAGCTGTATACGTAAGGTGATTGTAGACTGGTATGCTACTTGTATCTGATGCTTTTTTAGCTATCTTTCAACGAGTTCAGATGCATTTTCCACGTATGGGATGGTCCGCCAGGTGAATGTTTTTGGTGCCTGGGTGGTGAATTTCTATTCCAGTTATGTTTACTTTTCTTACGAATTTTCTCGATATTTTATCATCCCCGTCTTCATTATTATGTCTTAATCCAATCAACAACTTGATGTCCTCGCCCAGCCCCTTTATGTCGTCAATTTAACCTTGCCCGAATTCTGGCAACACGCTCCAGAACATTATTTCACCCGCATCGCATCAACTTTTTATTCTGCTAACGTTACCAAGGAGCTGGCGAACTACCACAAACTTGTGGAGGTTCTCCCCGTTAGCGTTATCTCTCAAGTTCGGTCCTTGCTATCTAACCCTCCTGCAGATGCTCCCTATTCCACGTTAAAGGCAGGAATTCTTCGACTTAATTCTGTGTCCGACCGACAGCGGTATCACCAGTTACTTAAGGAGGAATCACTGGGTGACCGAAAGCCCTAAGAACTTCTACGTCGAATGCGTTCTCTCCTTGGAGACATGCATGTTGACGATAAATTTGTCAAGGAGATGTTCCTAGAGCGTCTGCCCTCAGATGTTCAAACTATCCTGGCGCCCGGTTCTCAAGATCTCACGGTCTCACAGTTGGCTGAGATGGAGGATCGAGTGATGGATGTGCAGCGGTTCCAGTCACCGTTCGTTGCTCAGATCTCCACACCCTCATCGATGGTGAGTGAACAGTTAATGAAGCATGTGTCGGCCATGGCGGATGAGATGACCTCCCTCAAACTACAGCTCGCACGCAGCCGTCGTCTTTCTCGTTCGCGACCTCGGGCTGCCGATACCTGTTGGTATCACATTAATTTCGGCGTAAAAGCCCGTCGCTGTTCCTCAACCTGCTCTTTTAAGCCGAAATAGGGAAACCAGTCAGTCAGAGAACAGATGCGACCGTTTACTCTGCTCTTCCGAATCTGGTCGCACCTTCTATGTTTGCGACACTGCGACTCGCAGACGTTTCCTGGTGGACCCTGGAGTCCAAATAAGCGTTGTTCCCCCAACTACAGCTGATCGTCGTTTCCCCAGTCCTGATCCTCACCTCCAAGTTGCCAACTGTTCCCCCATTTCCACTTTTGTCAGTCTGTCCCTCACCCTTAACATTGGCCTTCGTTGGTTGTTTACCTTGATCTCCGTGATTGCTGATGTCCCTCATGCAATCGTCGGCTCGGACTTTCTTGCCGAGTTCGATCTCTTTGTTGACTGTCGACGTGCCTGTCTGCTCGACCACACAACCGGTCCGTTTGTTCGTGGACTTACTCCCTTTACTCCCCCCACACTTCTTATCTGTCCTGGATACAGATATTGGTAGCCCCTTTCGGCAACTGATTCTTAGACACCCCAACATGATCAACCGCTAATTTCGCAGTGGTGAGGTCCAACATGATCTTGTGCACCATATACACACCCCAGGTCCTTCTGTGTTTACTCGTCCGAGGCGCCTAGCACCGGAGCGTTTCCAGGCCGCGAAGGCGGGGTTTGAACACATGCTGCAACTGAGAATAATTCTCCCGTCCGAGAACCCTTGGGCGTCCCCACTGTAAATGGTGCCCAAGGCGACATCAGGTGACTGGGGACACTGTGGCGACTATCGTGTCCTCAATAGCGTCAGCATTCCTGATCGGCAAAGCGGTTTCTTCGAAGACTGATCTGGTGCGTGCTTTTCATCAGATACCAGTCGCCACTGACGACGTCCCTAAAACCGCTGTCACCACACCCTTCGGTCTCTTCGAGTTCGTCTGCGTGCCGTTCGGTCTTCGTAATGCCGCCCAAACGTTCAAGAGGTTCGTAGAACATATCTTACGTGGCCTACCCTTTGTGTAAGCCTAAATTGATGACCTCTTGGTGGCCAGCCGGAATGAGGAAGAACACAAAGAGCATCTTGCCTTGATGTTTGACCGTCTTGACAAGTTTGGCGTTGTCATCAACCCCTCCAAGTGCATGTTGGGTGGGCATTCGCTCGAGTTCCTCGGCCATCAGGCTGACTATGAAGGTTTGCGTCCCCTTCCGTTCAAGGTTGAAGCAGTTCGTGATTTCGCTTCACCAACTTCCAAGCACCAGTTGCAGCCAGTCCTCGGCATGGTAAATTTTTACCGCCGGTTCCTACCGAACTATTCTGACCTCATGATGTCGCTTACCAACATGCTTTTTGGTCCCAAAGGTCCCCTCGAGCTGACTGGTGAAGCACTGACTGCTTTTGAGAGAATCAAGAATTCCCTTGCCGACGCCACCTTACTCACGCATCCCGCTCCCGAATCTCAGCTGTCCCTGATGGTAGATGCTTCGCCTGTAGCCGTAGGTGCAGTCCTTCAACAACATCTTGCTGGTTCGACTCGACCACTTGCCTAAGAGGAGGAGAGACTGGAAGAGGTTAGACTCGTACTGGGCGCCGCGGTCAGTCGTGATAGCGGAGGGTACACCAAAGATGGTAACCCAACGACTGAGAAGAGCTTTGACCACGCTAGAGCAGCAATGTCAGACAGGGAGATAGCTTCAGGCCATCGGGTGGACCGATCCACACAGATGAAGAGATAAGAACAAACATTGGACAGAGGCAGGGGGTCTACAATGTCCAGGTGAACGTGGTTGCACATTGCACCAGGTCAGGGGGCCTTGTTGTGCCGCTGGACCTTACTCCGTTGACAGTCAATACAAGCCCGCGTCCATGCTTGGGGGTCCTTGTACATCCCAGGCCAGACAAAGCGATTGGAAACCAGACTGTCGGTGGCTCGACTGTCCGGATGAGATAGACTGGGCAGGGAGAAAACTGCGGCGAATAGGGGACGGCATAAATGGACGATGGGATGGGGTGGATACGTCTCATAGAATGGTGCTGTTGCTAGCTGTCAGTGATAACTCTTGAAGTTGGAGTCCAGAAACATTCTCATCGCAGAGTGAACCGACGAGGCTTTGTTCAGCGGCCATCCCAGCGAGGTCGATCCCGGGTGAAAGCTAGAGGTGAATGGTAGAAAGTCTGGACAGTGCGTCAGCCACCTCACTCCGTGACCCGTCAATGTGGCGGATGTCTGAAGTGGACTGCGAAATGTATTCCAGGTGGCGGATCTCCCTGGGGTTAAGTTTATCAGAGTGGGAATGCATAGCAAAGGTGAGTGGCTTAGGATCTGTGAAAACTATGAACTCCCGACCTTCCAGTAAATGCCGGAGATGCTCCACGGAAAGGTAAACGGCGAGAAGTTTACGTCTGAATGTGCTGTATCGGGGTTTCGGCCCTGGACAAATTCCTGGAGAAGAGAGCCTAAGGCACGGTAGAATATGGCAGACGTTGTTGGGGAACCGCGCGCAGCAACATTGGAGGCATCAACCATCAGAGATATGGGTACATCAGCACGAAAGTGAGTCAGGAGGGTGGCATCAGCCAGACGGGCTTTTACCCGCCCAAATGACGTGAGTGCTCTTGGTTTAAGTTCAGAGGTGTGCTTAGAACCTGCGAGGAGACTGGTCAGTGGGAGGATGGTGTCGTCACAGTTCTCGAGAAACCGGCGATAAAAGTTTCCCACACCAAGGAACCGTTGCAGCTGACGCTTTGAGGTAGGGATGGAAAGTCCCGAATAGCAGCGACCTTGGATGGAAGAGTCCGAATGCCGTTGGAGTCGATCTGATGACCTAAGAACTCAAGAGAAGTGGCTCCTGAGAAACATTTTACAGGATACATGGTGAAATCAAACTGCTGAAATCGGTCGAAAAGTTGGATTAGGTGTTGAAGATATTCTTTAGCATCTTGACTGGCGATTAAGACATCGTTAAAATAAGCATAGAAAAATGGAAAACCACGTAAAACAGGCCAATTAAACGTTGGGAAGTCTGTAAGGAATTTCGCAGACCAAATGGAATACGAAGAAATTCAAACAAGCCAAAAGGGGTCGTCATTGACGTTTTGGGAACGCCCTCAGCCGCAATCGGAATTTGATGAAATCCAGAACCAAATCGATCTCCGCGAAAACTTTTTTGCCAAAGTGTTTCGGTAAAGTCCTGAAGGTGAGAAACCGGATACCTATCGGGCATAGTGATATTGTTTAGGGTTCTATAATCACCGCAAGTACGCCAATCATCCGTTCGTGGTTTAGGAGCCATGTACAAAGGAGATGCCCAGAGACTGTTGGATTGTCGAATAATCCCTATGTGCAACATGTGGTCAAATTCAGCCTTAGCAGCCGCAAGACGGGTGGGAGCAAGACGGCGGAGACGAGAGAAAACAGGAGAACCAGTTGTTTTTTTTGTGATGAACATTATCATGGGACAGTGAGGTTTTAGAGGAGTGGAGCTTGGTGAGAGCAGGATATTTTGCCAAAAATTCATGTAATCGACAGCCATAGCTTTGGTAAAGGACAGACAGACGGTTGGAAGCTGGGATGGATGAAAACCGTTGACGGAGAGGGCAGTGGCGCGATCGTAAAGGCGAAGTTGCCTGCAATAAACCAGAAGGTCGACGGCAGCTAGAAAGTAGGCCCCAAA